GTACGAGTATTTGAAAAGGAAGTTGACTGTCTGGATTATGTCTGGCGTGGACTCTCACCTGCACTGAAATCCATCCAGTTGAGACGTGAGAAACATGCAAAACCTTTATTAGAGTACCAAGAAATAACTAAAGCAGTTGAAATGATAAAAAGTGGTAAAATCCTTCCTCATACATAGCTGATTTTGAGATACCCGAGAGGTGTATATCCATGAAGAAGTACCTTGAATCAACGATGCCTATCTGCCGTTTCTGAGTTCAGTTTTCGGTGCTGCGCATGCGCAGTTTTTGCGTTTTTAACCCAGATTTCGTCCGATGTTCGTGTTTGGCTTTCGGATTGCGTGGCTTGTTGCATTTGTTGACTGGGCACAGAATTTTGCGGCCTTTTGTCAGGTGAAAATTGAGGTGAAAGGCGGTTTTGCGGACTACTGTGTTCGTTCGGAGTGGAGGAGAGAGAAAGAGAGAGAGATTTACTTTCGGATTTGGCCCATTTGGTAGATGGGTGGATAAACGATGATTTGTATTCATAAAGTGCTGTTCAGTAGGTGGCTGCCTGATGGCTCAATTGTCTCGTTAAGATTGTTAACGAAAGATTACAAGCTTTATGGCTGATTAGCTTGCAATTTTTAGCAGCGGAAACAAAAGATTTCGCCCTTGATTAAGCTTAATTACCCTTTTGGGGTTTTCCTTAATGTTAATATTAACTTTTATGTTTTTAGTTTCATATTGTTCTTTTTTTATTTTTTAAAAGATTAAGAAAGTTATTGCTTAAACAATAAGTTTTGGCATTTATTTTGATTGCATTTTCATGGCATTCAAATCGTTTCTCTCTCCGATTTATCCATTAAAGATATAAAAGCAATGCTTTATAGTTCCCATACCCATAAACATGTCAATAAAATCCATATGAATAATTTAAATTTCCTTTCTAAAGAGTCTTCTTTCTTAAAGACTCCGCCATTAATGCCATGGCAAAAACGTTTTCAATTTAGAAGCCCTCTTTTATGGCCCAAACAATTTAATTAAATTGTGATGAGTGTGTGTGCGCGTTGAGTGAGTTTGTTGTGTGTTGCCGGGAAGTTTGTTTTGAATTTCTCCAAACATTTAATTTCGTTTACTCACCAAAAAACAATTGAATTTTTTTTATTATTCAATTACATTTTGTTAGGAGAAAGCCAGAGAGGGGAAACAATAGTTTGTATGCATTTCCAATTTGTATTCGACTGCAGTTCGTTGTGCCCAAAATCGAAGACCCCAAATCCGAATCCGAATCTGAATCCCCAACCGACGTCATCGTCTCCTCGCCTTGTTTATCAATTAGACACACTGCCTCACACACACACGCACACATTCAAATCGATTATATTTTTTGGTATTAGTAGAAATGCCTTTTCCTTCATCGAAGTGGAAATCCCCGCCTTTTCTGACCACGCCCTGGGCTGCACTAATCTGTTTATGGCAGCGAGATTCTATTAATATTTCTTCTCTTTTTTTCTGAAGGGGGGCCCCCATTTAAAGTGTTGGAAGTTTTACGATGGCATCCTAAGAAACTTTGCCCAAATTGAGTTTGGCATATCTCGTCGAGCCTGAGCCCCCGGCAGTCATAATTTAAAATATTTAAATGCCTTCGGCTATAATTGAAGAATGCAATGGCCCAACGACTGCCACTTGAATAGGTTTCACATTTTTCATCATTCAAATGGTTGGCTATGTAAATGGCATTTTCTTTCCCCATTCAATCCCGAATTCAATGTTAAGTTCAATGTGAAAACTAAATGCCTTATCCATTTGGTTGCATTTCATATTTTTTATGGCACGCCAGCAGTTATTAATAAATTTATTTATCTTTTTCTGGACTCCGTTGATTGTTATATGAAAATGGATGAGATTGAGATGGAGACTTGAGGGTGATAGGACGAAGACACATTTATTTATTAACCCCTCCTATTCTCCCTTTACCCCTTGGGGCTTGACAAGTGACAAATGCAGTGAAGATATAGAATTAAATGTGTGAGCCGAAATCAAAATCAGTTTCAAGCCTGCGAGCTAGCCCCCCTCCTGGCGGAAGATTCAAACAAACAATTCCAAACAAACACTGTTTATGGCAGACACCCCAAAACATCCTTACCCATCAGACTCATCATCATCATCCATCGGCATGGATATGGAACATCAAAGTACGCGACGACAACAGTTCGTCAAAATAGAAAAAGAAAAGCGGCATCGGGTTGTAATTTGTTCCTTACTTTAGCCAGCCAGAATCCATCATCACTCGATTCATGACCCGTGCGATGATTGACGGACGACCGAACGGCCTGGTTTTACCCTCAGCTGGAAACCTTAATGCCATATGTTTGCCTCCGGCTCAAGACTCTGACTTGTCTTGGTTTCAGCGTGTGATAATTTACCATTTGCTGAGAAATGCACTGAGGAAAACAATAACCACTATAAGATCAACATTTCATAAAGCTAATAAAATAAACTTAATAAGCTTAGCTATTCCAAATAAAAAAGTAATACAACTATTAATATCTACAATTTTTGCAATTAAACTTTAAAGTGCAGATTTTCCTTATTATTTTCAATAACATATTTTTCTCAAGTGCAATAAGTATGTGAAATTATCCCTCAGCCAAGAGCTATCTATGCGTGGGCGCTTCTGTTGTGTTCTAGTTTTAATGAGTTTCCACTCGACGTAGTGTTTCAGGACAATAGTCCTTGAGGCGCCTCCTGACGCCATTTGCCCAACACAATCTGGTACCATGCCGGCGATGCCTTGCCCTAAATACTCGCAAAGATTGCCAACAGACATGCATTCTTGTGCATCCTTATCAGCTGAGAAACTTGACACCCACTTGTAGATACTTTTTCTTTTGCAGTTTTAAAGAAAGTTAAAAAGTAGTTAACTCATATGAGCCGGGAAAAACTTATTGATGCGTAAAGAGAGATAGATAGGGGCCGGGCCCCACTTCTCATTAGTCATTTGAGCCAATCAATCACTCAAGTTTACTTTGGGTTAATTGTTTTTCCGTAAACAATAAGCCAGAAATACCACCACCAAGCTCCCCTATCTCCATATGGTGATACTATACATCCAGCAGATGCCAACGAAAAGGGATACATTTGGGTCAAAGGGAATTTTCATTAGTCCGCCAGTCATTAGTTCTGTTTTATGATGTCGCACCCTTTAAGTAGTCTCAGCCCCTAAACTTCTCCACATAGAAATCAAATTCCACACATTTCGCTTTTCTTGGCATTTAATTTGATTTTCGATCGGCATGGAAAACATCTTAATAAACAAATACTTTCGATTGAATTTGGTACATATGTGCAAAACTAGGAATTGTTTATGATACTCAAAATGTTTAGCGAAAAGAAACAACATCACACCTTGTTTTATATATTATAGCTTGTGATCCATCAATAACCTATATATAGATTGGTGTCTATTAATTTTAGACTTTTTCAGAAGCTTTCTCCTATTTTAGATTTACCTATAAAAGGCCCTTTATCAATATGTTATTTATAATATATTTTTGGTAGTCTCATAGTAAATGGGTTAAAACAAAGATATATTTGGCTTTTTGTAGTTACCGAAAATGAAAATATTATTATATTTCCTCATAAAGTAAACAAAATGCAACTTAATTATTAATTTTCCCCAACGAAAACCCTTGGTTCTTTGTTTTGACCCCCACAGATTTTTTTGCAATTCAAAAATATACCAAAAAGACAGCAGCAAAAAGGGGGAATTTCTCTTACAACAAAGCAGAGCATTAAGTGTAAAAAAAAACATATATTTTTATATATAACATACTCTGAACAACTTGGCGGCCTCTTCATGATTTTGCGTTAAACGTCGGACGTGGTAAAAATAAATACAACAAAATCTCGCTTTTTTCCTGTGGGTACTTTCAGCATTTTTGTGACGCGTTGCGTCGTGTAAAACAAAAACCTCTGACGCGTGTGACATTTGGCGCTGGAAAGTGACTTTTGAGCATGGAGCGAAAAAAAGGGAGAAGTGACTTTGCAGCAGTTGAAAAATTGAAGAGTTGTTTTGGGGGAGAAAGAACTGGGGTAACTTGGTCTTGCTTGGTTTATTGTTTTCTCGTGTTTGGCCTCAGGACTCGAGTGATTTTGCTTCTGGGGTCTGCGTGTCCAATTTTCTACTTGTACAAACTTAAACACCATTGCGGTTGAGATTATAGCACAGCGAAATGGATACTTTTACTATATGTATATACCTTTAAAATATATTTTTGGGGTCTTAAAGCTGAATTTTTACAAAGAATAAGAAGATAGTTTAATAGCAAAACCCAGCCTATTTTTTAAGAAAACATTATGACTACGAATCAAATCGTTTACTTTCTTAAACAACTATCTATTATTAATTACTTTAAATTCTAAAAATTAAAAAAAGAGATTTCGCAACATACCCCATTTAATTATTTTTGCCTGACCTCTGCTGTATTCCGCCCTGCATGCAAGTGCTAAGCGCATCTGTATCTGCGAGATACATGCCAGGGTTGTCAGACATCTGCGCTGTCTGCCGGCTCGCATTAATTAGACGTTTTTCTGTGCTTGTCCAAAAGTCTGGTCCATATCTATATAATATTATTTATGAACTTGCTAATTTTAGCACTGCCCCTGGCCTGAAAATTGAGCCCCAAGAAGCGAGATGACTGATGCTCTCAGTCTTATCAGAGTATCTCAACATGCCCGGCAACATGTTAAATGATTATCAGAGCAAGGCATTCGCTTCGCCTTAATTTCGGGCTCAAGTTGTCAGCATTTTGGATGCCTGGCGGCGTTGACTTTAAGCCTATTAGATACACCACACTCCGACGCAGCAGAAAAGCTTTGTTCACCTTGAGATATGGGGGAAATCAGGGTAAGAAGGGGGAGAGAGTCTCTAGGTGCGGCCCAAGTAGTTTGTAATTAACAGCATTTACATCACCCTAATGAATGTTTTTCCTCCTCCCTCTCTCTTTCTATATTGCAGCACACACCACCGCCGACCATTTAACCGTCCTCGACGAGTTCTCAACTCACACTGTGATACGACCGCAGGTGGAACATGGACGCACTAAGCGCAGCCTGCCAACCACTCTGGATGCCACCGTAAGTAGCCAAGGGCAATGGCAACGTGGGGGTAATTGTGCTAAATTATGCACTAGATGCCACATTCTATCATTATGTGGTTGTCAAGTTGTTTTTCCTGATTTTCCACATCAACTTTTTTGAGTTCATGAAAAATAGAAATGATCAAGCTAAAATGTTTGGATGCTACAATTTTGCTTTACTGAGTGGTATGTCCACTGAACATGCAATAGTTTAAACGCCAAGTTGATACTTACAAAACTTCAATTTAATCCTAAAAATGATGTTAACTCTAAAAACTATAAAACTTTTAACTCTTTAAAAACAATCGTAAAGTTTTTACCGGTTTGACTTTTACGAGTGTTTGTAAAAATTTCTGTTTTGCTCTTTACTGAGTACCAAACTTTTTTTTAACATTAAAAAAGTATCAGATATTTAAACATTTTGAACAATTCACCACTTCAGCAGGAGGCAAAAAAGGTAATCAAAATTAACCAGAAAATAAAGTCCCCCCGTAACAGGAAAAATTTGCGCGAAATTCATTACATGCCTGGGGGCAAAAATGTTTGGAGTTTACAGGGTGGACTGTCAAAAAGCCAAACCCCGTTTTAATTAGCCCTTTAAAAAACAACAACAGTGAGTGGGTGGTTGGGTTAAAGGCAGTGAATAGGGTGAAATTTCAGTTAACCCCTGCGACTGGCAGGACATTACACATTCGCACCTCGCCTCTTTGTCACGCCCACAATTTGCATGCGAAAATGAAATAAATGGGGATGACCGCGTCAGACAGACCCAAATGGCTTAATCTTGTTAACGTTATCTCCCCGCTCTCTTCTGCCAATTTCCAGGACGGCCTTCACACGCCGCACATTACATTGAGTTACACCCACGAGGGTAAAAGGGTTACCATTGACCTGCAGCGAAATGATCGCTTGCTGCCGGACACCCACTTCCTGCGATACCAAAATGCCAGCGGAGAAGCCACTCCTAGCCATGTGGTTCGCAACTTCACCAAGACTGAGGTTGATTTATGCCACTATCAGGTAAGTGAACAGCATACACTTTGGAGAAAACAGATTCTCCATGTTTAAGGAAAAATACAAATTTCCAAAAATATATTTGAAAATTTAAAATAAGGTAAAGCTCTTTTCGAAGTGTACTTAGTTACTTTGAACTTTGTAGTAATTTCCCATTTGATTTGGTTAACCCATTCCCAGGGACACATTCGTGGTCAACCGGACTCTGTGGTAGCTCTCTCCACCTGTGATGGTGCTCTGGATGGCATCGTTTTCGATGGCAAGCAAACGTACATTATCCATCCCCATGTCCACGGCAAGGGGCGACTGCAGGATGACCACTATCTGCTCAGGTGAGTTGTTCATCCTTAAATTAGGTTAGCAGAAAATACTAGAAAAGAACGAAGAAATAGGTTCGCCTTTAAAATAGTGACAGCCTATTAATTTAATTTAAGCGGGGCCCTTTTTATAAAAATATGTTTAAAGAGTTAAAACTTCACTGTAATAAAATCAATCTAACAATGTAGTGGTATTTAACAACATAATAAAGAACGATTAGCTTCATTAATATCATTTTAATTTGACCGAATTATCATCTATTTATTGCCTTTCATATAGAAAGTACTCTGAATGGGCTCAGTTTGAAATGATAACCAGGTAATCGAAGTTTATGGGGCCTCTTCCGTTCCGTTTATGATACTGGTCAAGACACGATTCCCTTTTCCAAATGCCGTTTATCTAATCTGTAGTTTGTGGCCTCTTTCGACCTAAGCGAAATATTGTTTACTCACTTGTCATAAATGTTAGAGCAGTCAGGAAAGTGTTTTTTTTTTCTTAGTACCAGGGGCCGGACGGAAGGGGTTTGCTGCCCAAATGTTTACCTATTTGTGGGCCACAAATATTTACCTATTCGGGTATATTTGCCCGAGTTCCCAAACCAGAACGATATTCGTAACCAAAAGCGACCTACTCATTCATTATGTTTATGCGCCACCGTCACTTCCGTTATTAATTTCTTTTGTTGGCCACGGAAATATCAAATTACCTTCGATTTGTTCTACGCAGGATGGTAGATAGACATCCAACGAACGCCACCTGTGGCTATGACAGCCATAGGGACGACCACAGTCACGACCACGAAAATAATGGACTTGGCGGGGAGATTCCTTCACTGCCATTCCGCCTTGATGGCGGCGAATTCCAGAGAACTCTGCTCCGGAAGAGGCGTCATTCGGACGATAGCAATCAATTGATCCGGGGCCCATACAATGCCAACAAATACTCCAGCTACGTGGAGCTGGTCATCGTCGTGGACAACAAGGTGTACAAGAACATGCAGGAGAGCTCGAAGAAGGTGCACCAACTCTGCAAGAATCTGGCCAACATAATCAATGCGGTAAGTATTATTATTATTATTAATTTATAACATATAATATAATATCACACCTCTCTTTTAGCTCTATGTCCCATTGAATATATTTGTGGCCTCTTGTGGGCGTTGTAATCTGGAACGAAAACAACGAGATGGAGTTTTCCAGCGACGGAGACGTGACGCTACGGAACTTTTTAAACTACCGTAGCACCAAACTAGTGCGAGAGCACCCCAACGATAATGCCCAGCTGCTGACCAAAGAGATTTTCACTGGCGGCGTAGTGGGCAAAGCCCTAAAGGGACCCATCTGCACGTATGAGTTTTCCGGAGGAGTAAGCATACAGCACAGTCCCAACACCGCAATGGTGGCCACCACAATGGCTCACGAGATGGGTCACAATTTTGGCATGGAGCACGATACACCAGAATGTCATTGTCGGGATGAAAAATGTGTGATGGCTGCCTCGAGTACTTCGTTCATTCCGGTTAGCTGGAGTAGCTGTAGCATTGATCAGCTAACGATAGCCTTCTCGCGTGGCATGAACTACTGTCTGAAGAATAAGCCAGAAAAGCTATTTGAATCGCCAACCTGTGGCAATGGTTTCGTTGAGCCTGGGGAACAGTGCGATTGCGGATTGCCGGAATATTGTGAGAATAATTGCTGTAATGCCGAAACCTGCATGATGCACTCAAATGCCTCCTGTGCCACCGGAGAATGTTGTGATCTGAGCACCTGTCGTCCCAAATTAGCGGGCAGTGCATGTCGAGAAGTTGAAAATGAGTGTGATTTACCGGAGTACTGTACTGGAGAGTCAGAATACTGTCCGGCGGATGTGTACCGACGTGATACGGAGCCCTGTGACGGAGGTCAAGCCTTCTGTTTCCATGGCACTTGTCGATCCCACACGAATCAGTGCCGAACTTTGTGGGGACCCACGGGTGAGAATTCCGAGCACTGCTACAACAAGAACATGGAGGGCACCAGGTTGGGAAACTGTGGCTTCAATCGTCTGAATAAGACTTTTCTACGTTGCGATGAGGAGCATGTCAATTGTGGAATGCTGCACTGCATCCACTTAAACGAAAGACTCGAATTCGGCATGGAATCGGCGGCTGTATTGTCACATTCCTACATCAGTCACGATCGTAAGATTGTGGCCTGTCGCACTGCCTTGGTGGATCTGGGTTTGCAAACCACAGATCCAGGACTAACGCCCAATGGAGCTAAATGCGGTGCGGATAAGATGTGCGTGGACCAGCGATGCCTGCCAGTGGCCACGGTTCGGCAGAAGGGCATGGGATCTCCATGTCCGGACGATTGCAATGGCAATGGCATTTGCAATAGTCGAGGCCACTGTCACTGCGATGTCGGCTTTGGCGGCGAATCTTGTTCGAAGGCGGGGTCTGGAGGTTCTCCCGACAGTGGACCAGCCACAGATCCAAATGGTATGTTGGTAAATTGTATTTTGATAAAGAAACTCATCAATGTTCTTCTTTTAGGTTCTGTGGGTCTCAAGCGATTCCTGTACGTGCTGTTCTTCATCGTTTTTCCTGTTGTGGCCTGCTTCTGGTGGCTCTATCATTGCTACAAGAACGGATGGTTTACCCGTGGAAAGCTGGCTGACAATATGTATGTATCGACCTCCTCCTTCAGCAGCGGCTCGAAAGAGGACAGCAGTCCCGACAGCAGCATCTCCACCCAATTAGCATATAAGCAGTCCCCTGCACGCACTGCACCACCTCCACCGCCCACACAACCACACCACACTAATCCACAGCCAAGAGGTGTTGTAACTAACATGCCCCCGGCCACCATTACTAACATACACGCCATCCTGCCGCGCCACAAGTCCAATCCAGATGCAGTGCATCAGGTTCACATTCAGCCGCCATTAGTGCCGAAAAGTCAGAGCACCTATGAGATGCGCTTAAAGTTGTCCACATCGAAAACGAGTGTCCCACAGTCCTTCTCTAACTCCTCCTCCAATTACAACAACAACACTGAGTCACTAAACAACAACAATGACAAGAGCAACACTAACAACAGTACACAGAGACGCAAGCTGGATATCACGGCCCCAAGGCTGAATGCCACCACAAATCCACTAGCGCTCACCGAGGGCGCCCAGTTCATACAGAGCGACCCCGCGAGGTGCGCCAAAAACTAAACAAACAATTAACTACAGTGAAATACGCTTGCACTGCCACTAAAAAATATACTGCATGACTTTGCGCTTGGCCAAGGGTGTTACATTATTCTTGCAGAATTAAGAAAGTTACGAATCTTAACGATTTAGTTAGGTATAAATTGATAATGACATATTTTTATACCTTATCCGTATTTTAATTAAAAAAAACGACAGAATTGGAATTTCTTAAGATATGAAAAATATAGGTATCATTTTTAAAGATATAAACTTAGTTAAAATCCAAAACAAAGCATAGCATAAATTTTAAATTATAATCAGTGTAGATAACAAAACCAAATTAGAATTAATATATACTTCATATTTATTACCAACAAAAATGTTTAAAAAAATCTTAAACAATCTTAAGAAAGACATAATTATGAATGGGAATTTTTTCATATAAAATCTGCAGGGATATATCTCAGATTCGGAAAACCGAAGACAACTTTTTCGTTCATTTTAACACGCTCCCCGTTTGCACGTTTGTGTTAATGCCATATAACCAAAAACCCATAATCATGAAATACTACTAATACAATTTTAGTTTTAATTTCAATTTATTTTCTAGTTTAAGTTGTCTTGACTTTTTGAGTTACCCAATAAATGTCTTGTTTTAACTTTTGGTGTTGGCTTTATATTTGTCTTGCTATCTGTATGCCTTTATATTATCAGCCTTATTTTACTATCCTAGCACTGGTGTTTGGTTTATGCACGTTTTTCACGTTTTGGTATGTTAAACAACTACACTTTAAAAGCTTCGATCTTAGTATATATTTACCTCCTATTAATCTTTCTAACTAAATATCCTTACAGTTTGAAACCCTCTGGAGGAAGCAAGCCCATCACCACGCGTACCAGTCAAAATGGCAGTGGTCCACCAACAGGGAATGGACTACTAAAATCCACTCCTAGCAGTACGGATGATATGGATTCGGCTCTATTGAAATCCCCAAGTGATTCCACACCCACAGCTGGATTGTTTGGAAAATTCGATGGTTTCACTTTACGTCCGCTGAACGATGCCACTTCGCCGGCAAGCAATTACAGTGGACCGAATGTGGCCTTTGTGCAGCCCACTGTGCAACAGGATGGACCACAGAGAATGGCACCACCACCGCCGGCTGTTAAGCCAGGAACTGCTCCCGTTCATCCGCCATCTCCGAAACCAGAAGCCACTTGGGTAAGGCCAGCGCCTGCCTTGCCTCCACCTAATCCTGGTTCTACGGCTCGTCCTATTATTTCACCACCCAAATTGGATTCCAGTACATTAACCATGGTGCCGCTCAAAGGCAGCACGGAGGATCTCTCGCCCACTCGATCCGCTCCAGCTCCTCCAGTTCCCCTACACGCTGATCCTAAGCTGAATATTAAAAGAGATGGTACCATACGCCGATTCGCTTCGTTCCTGAAGAAAGAGGAGAAGCCACCGCTAAAAGAGAAGACCTACATCGATCGGGAGCGACTGCGAACGTTGGAAATTTCTGCTCCCATGCCTGTTCCCGCTGCGGCTCAAACGGAGTCCTCCAACTCCGATTCGGAGACAACGCCCCGCGAAGAGGAGACTCAGAATCTGGTAAAACGAGCCCAATCCATGCGATCGCCAACGAAAAAGACTCCACTACAGAGCTTTGGATCCATGCGTTCACCTCCTGGACTGCCGCGTCCCAAAAGTGGTCAAGTGAACAGCAGTGGGACTTCGAGACCCAAGTCGCCGCCACCAAGGCCTCCGCCTGTGGTAGTCAAGAAAACCAACTCCACTATTAGCTCTTCGGGATATCAGAGGCCAGTGGCCACAGCCCAGAGATCAGTGGAGAATACCTACGACGACTGTGAGTTTGTGGAGAATGAAGTTCGAGCCTCCAACGATGATATATATTCCGTGATTGATGAGATTCCACCAGCGGCACAGACCCTCAAACGAAGCGATTTGGTTGCCAACAGGGCGAGTAACGGCAGCGATATGGGATTGCTGAATGAAATTGTCAATGAGCTGGAAAAGATCAACGGGGACTCCATATATTCAGGGAAACCCGTTGCTACTGCAGCAGCAGCTCCACCTCCTGCAGAACCTCCAAAAAGTCCTCAGCGACCTGCTCCACCTAAGCCAGCGAGCAGTGTGCTGGAGGAAAAGGCAGCCAATGCATCTGCAAGCACATATCACCGCCCTCCCCCAGTAAATGCGCCTGTGGCAAGGGTTAAACCTACGGTGGCGGAGAAGTCACAGCCCAGCATGTCGAGCTTCAAACCGCCGGCGGGTACCGGCGGTCAGTCGCAGCCAGCGCCAGTTGTACAGCTGGCCAAGAGGAGCAGCAGCGGCAGCATCACCGGAGGCACTAACTCCACCCGTCCCAAATCCTTTATGAAGAGCACAACGAAAACACTGCCCAATGGAACGGCGGGAGCGTCGGTAACGGCGCCCTCGGCCACCATCCAGAAGCCCAAACCGCTCTCGGCAAAGCCATCGTTTAGCGGCGGAGGAGCGGGTGGAGTTCTGGGAAAGCGGACGAATGGTGGTGCAGCGCCCACGCCTCCCACCGTAAAAGCAGCGGTGACGGTGTCGGCGGCGCCAAAGTCCAACATTGCATCGCTGACACAGCGATTCGAGCCGAGCAAATAGACTAAGGAAAACTATGATAAGTGGCATGACCATGGGCATAGCAAAAAATATTTAATGTAAAAAAAATGTTAGATCGATTATTAAGAACTGATTATTACACTTACCAATTTTTAATGATTTAATACTAAATATTTAATACTTTGGATAGTATAGTTTAATAATTTTCTGATTTATGATTTGTTTTAAGATAACTGGAAAGCAAATTCTTTTAAATTCAAACTTTTATGTCTTTGTGTGAAAATTAGTAAACCTTTTAGCTTATATTCTCTGCCATTTTGTGATTCTTGGCTATGCTCTTGGTCTGTCTAAAACCCCACCCAGCGTGGAATTGACTTAAGTTTTAGTTAAGATACGATCAAATTGTATTTGGCACTGACTATGACTACGACTACGTCGCCTTTGATATTCATTCCTTTACCGATGTCCCACTAGTTAGACGTAACGCGTTGCTTAACTCATGTGCTAAGTATGTATCTCAATGGTTAAATGTTTAAGCGCTGCATGTGAAGTTTTATTTTAGCCCCTAACGTTTAGCTGCGTACTTGTATCTGTATCTATACTCTACTTTACGGTAATCCCTTGTATTTATGTATATGTTTATACGCAATATGCTTTTGTAAATAAAAACCAAAGAAGAAGTTAAATTGTCACAAAAAAAAAATAAGAAAAGAAAAACAACAAGCACCGCCTCGAAGTGATCAATTAAAAAGTGTTGTATAGTTGGGGATATTAACAAAGTAATTAAAGATGTCGTTTCAGTAGCGAAATCAATTTAAATTTTCTCAATGTTGCAAAGAATTATGTTATGCCCCATATGTAAGAAAGATATCAAATGTGTATAGAACCGAAGTTATGTTAAAATATATGTTTAACCAAATTAAAGACAATTGTGTTTATTAGGGGAAAATTTATGTTTTGTCTTAAGAAAGTTGATCTATATAAACTTTTTAGGAAGGGATTTTCCTGTTTCGAAATAAGATTTTTTAAAGAATTTTATTCGACCATAAGCTTTATATGATATTTTTAAACAATAACGTTTTACCAGGTTATCTGCACCAGCTTATCACCTGAGCACTGGATAGTGATTTCGGTTCCATTTTCGCTTTGCCTGGGATGAGTCCAAATACCCACTTCGCACTCCCTTGTTACCGATCCATTAAACAGCTTCACCTCGAATTTTTTAAGAGTGCCTGCCACTACTTGTGTGGTTGCCTTAATCACTTTGACAACTCTGTAAAAGAAATATAATTATAAATCATTTAGAAAATGAATACTGCTTTTTCTTATAAACTTAATTTTCTTCAAACTTACTGGTAGTTGGGACCATCTCCAGTTGCCAGTTTTTCAAGAGTTCTGGTCAAAAGCTCCTTAGCCTCTACAAGTTGTACTCCCTGCAGGGGAGTTATGCGACCGGGTATCTGAGACGCTATTAAAATGAAGTATTCAATGATTTAAAAAAAAACTAAAACTTACGACAGCAAAGGTAACTGACAGAGTCAATCCCAATACAAAAACCACTTTCAACGCCTGCATTTCCTTCAAAAGATTGTTTTAAACTGAGGACACACAGCGAATAAAGAGTGATTATATAGAAAATATTCCTCTGTTTTTTAGTTTAACGTTTATCGTACTTGGATTTTCTTTTACGATGAACACCATTGGGTTCTTATTCTGTGATTACTTCCCCTCAGAAAAAGCTTATCAATTTTATATATATTTATTTTTTTATTGTAAAGTACAAGAATTATTTTTATTTCTTATTTTTAAAGATGCTGATAAATGCATTTCCCCACACAAAGTTCTGATAAAATCCAGTTGTTATAACTCCATTAAATGAAGAACAATAAGAAAGCAACAATATAAAACTACACAATTATATTGAGGATATTTAATTACAAAACTTTCGATAAAAAAATACCATTAAAATCAGGCCTTGCGCTTGCGCTTTGCCTTGGTAGCTCCTTGAGGCGTGGACATGGCCTGGGCTTTCGACAAGTCGGCCGAGGAAATATCCGGTGTCTCGTTAATTTCTTTGGCAGCCACCAGTTTCTTGACTGCCTTGACTTTCGGCCTGGCCGTCTTGGGCTGAGCCAGAGTGCCGATGGACTTGCGCGGTTTTTTGGCTTTCGCCACTTCAGATGATTCCACTTTAAGCTTAGCTTTGGACTTGACCGACTTCTTTTCTACTTCTGGAGATGTGGTTTTTGGAGTGCCCAGCATAGCCTCTGCAGCAGCTGAGGCGACTGCCTTAGATCCTGGTTTAATCTTGGCACCGTCTACAGGTTTCTTTTTTTTCGCAGTCTAAATCAAAAATATTAAAAATATATAAAAGCAAAGAAAAAATTATAATAAATTTACTAACTTCTTTTGTTTTCCTTTCCGTTGGCTTACTGGCTTTTTCCTTGGGTGCTTTCTTTGCCTTCGCCTTCGCCTCTTTCTTTTCGGACTTCTCCTTTAGTAATCTCTCAGCTTTGGCCTTCTTCTCTTTTTCCTTTTCCTTCTCCTTTTCCTTCTCCTTTTTTGCTTTCATTTTCTCCACAGCCTTGGAGGAGCTCTTCTGCTTATCAGTAAGTTTAAAGGAGCGCTTTAACATTACCACCTCGCCATTCGTCTCGGCTACTCTTAGGGCGCGATGTATGAGACGACCCGTTTTCTTTGCATCCTTGAACTCGTGACCATTATCCTTGAGATACGCAATAATGGCAGGAACCGATGATCCCGATCGACTCGACAGCTTTCCCAATAGCCATCAGTGCTAGGGATATAAGTGAACCCTTTGATTTTGGAACCATAGACTTAGGGTTTTCCGTATCGTTTGTCGCCATTTTCAATCCATCATCGGGTGGGGGAGTGGGATAGGGATGTCTATCAGACACCAGCTTAACGGACTCGGGCTCTTCTTCAACGGACTCCTCTTCATCTCCCTCCATCTCCTCCGCAGATTCCTGCAACTGCTCTTCCTCCTCCTCACCTAAATCAGATTCCTCGGATTCAGGAAAATCATTCTGCATATCCTCCTCGCCTTCATCCTCCGAACTATCATTATAAGCAACCACTTTCAGTTTCATTATTGTAATTAAAAACAAAATTTAAACAAATATTATTTAACAATTTTAAAAACAGCGAACAACACTAATTGACAAGTGACTCTCGTGGTAATAAAATGCAATGGCAGTCAAGACACAGAAGAAACGGTAAAGTAAGTTAAATCATTTTCAAGTACAGGTAAAACCATAACAAGTGAACTCAAATTATTCTTGTTTTTTTGTCACCAGGACATAGATGACAACTAGTTTTTCAAAATACAAATATTTATGACTTCTTTTTTTGTTTTAAATATATTTTTTATATCAAATTTTTTTTTTTCGAAAATAATATTTCCCGGTATTGAGCATTTACTGCGTTTACCGCTCTTATATTATGACAAAGCAAACCTTGGTCAAAAATAAATCAGACACAGATTAGAGCTTTTTAACTGTAAATTAAGACAAAAAGTAGTAGGAAGGAATTCAGTATATATATATGTAGTATAATATGTAATATAAAAAACAAGGTGAGTAGATGAAAATTTATTTATAAAAAATGTATTTATTTTAAAATTTATTTTTATATAATTTTTACAGAAAAAATAAACAAATAATAAACAATATAAATGAAATAAAATATAAATACTAACAAATAAAAAAAAATTTAATTCAATTTCCATAATAAAAACTTTTATATTTAAATTGCGCGCTCTTTTTTAAAACCTATCGATTGTGTGATGTCGCATCACCACTTCTTCAATCTGGTAACACTTTAAAACAAAATTCGCAAGATGAGCGCAAGGAAGGTAAACAATTTGAAATTTCGGTTATTTTGGAGCAAATACTAAGTAATTTATGCTTAAGAAAACTTGGGTAAGATGCGCTTTCAGCGAGATGAACTTGACAGCCAGCCCGGTTCCATCAGAAGCCACGCCAGCCAAGCGCACAAGGAGTGCTAGCAATGTGTCTACCAGAATTTCGCGGTCTCAAAGCGGGAATGGCACGACTACTACAATTGCCAACGTAGAATCCGTGGATCTCACGACCGCAGACGATGACGAGGATGCGGACATAACTGGACCACCACCGGAAGTAAAGGAAAACTGGATGGAGACATTTGCGCCAGCCACCGTTGAAGAATTAGCTGTGCATCCCAAGAAGATCGGAGAACTTCGCGATTGGCTTCGTCACTGTGAGGCGGTGCGAAAGAAGTTCCCGGCTCAAATGTGCCTACTCACTGGACCAACTGGTGCTGGCAAAACCGCCACGTTGCGGGTCCTAGCTAAAGAGTTCGGCTACCAGCTGCAGGAGTGGATTAATCCTGTGGATTGCGAAGTGATCAACGCTCTGGGTGATCAGCAGAGTGGGGCTGCCTATTTGGGCTCTCATGTAGAGGCCTTCAAGAGCTTCCTGCTACGCGCATCGCGATACAAATCTCTGCTGGACTCTCACAACAAGAGGCTGCTTCTCGTTGAAGACTTTCCCAATTACCTGATCAGCGATAAGGATGCCAACTTTGAGGAGTTACTGGAGTGTGTAGAAAAATCATAAGGTTTTAAAATAGCTTCCTAAAAACATATTTCGTTACAGTGAATACTCTACGTATGGCAAATGTCCCCTGGTTTTTATCGTGGCGGATGCCAAATCTAGAGGTTTAAACATTAGCTACCGCCTTTTTCCAGATCAACTAAAAGCCAAACATCGCATAGAGCACATCAGCTTCAATGCCATTGCATCCACAATCATGCAAAAGTCTATGAAAACCTTCTGTTCTATAATGCAGCAGCCGCAAAATAAAACTACTTACAAGTTCCCCTCGTCCACTGTTGTTGAATCGATAGTTGTAGGCGCCCAGGGCGACATACGAAATGCCTTGATCAATTTACATCTTAGCTCCTTAAAGGGAGTTCCCAGCATGCCAACCAAACAGCTAAATGTCAGTGTAGCCACCAAGGGGCGTAAGAAGAAGATACAAAACACTCTAAAGTCCATTGGAAGAGACGAATCCATTACTTTGATGCACGCATTGGGAAGGGTTCTGAATCCAAAGTGTAAGTAATATATAATAGCTTATGTATGAATACCAATAATCTTTGATTTTTTAGATAAAGACGACAAAAGTATGGTTTACAGCCCTGAGGAATTAACCGAAGCCTTCAATACAGAGCCCAGAAATTTCGTAAACTTTATACACGCCAATTACCTGCCACATTTCAAAGACATTGAAGAAGTCGTGGACGCCATAAATGACCTGGGACTTTCCGATTCTATGCTCAATGAGTATCGTGATGATGCTTTGTCCGTAATGGGTCTAAATATTGCTATCAGGGGAGTTATGCTGGCAAATAGTTCCCCTGTCAGCGGTTGGATGCCAGTTCGAGGACCCAAGCGAATCAATATACAGCCACAGGCCACTCTGGCTGAACAAAGACTGGTCGGTGTTGGTTACGCGGGCATTTCCAGAACGCTTTATGCCACTGAATACTGTTCATTGGTAAAGTGCATAGCGGGTAAGCATTCTGAGACTCATTCAAACGAAAATACTAACTCTATTCAAGTATAAAAAATAAGTCTTTTAGATTAATTTATAAATAAACTATAAGGCAATGTATCTGATGTTAGAACTAAGATACAAATACAGAAAAAATAAATTGTAAAACACGTCCCTAGGATCAACTTTCTATCGCAATTTAAAAAAATAATAATAAAGAAAATCATTCACCTTTATTCACGATTTAACTTTTTATTTATCTACAAATCGAGTTTTCATTATACAAAATTCCATTAAAATCAACGTGTCGAGGCAACATCTTAAAGTATTTTACACCAGACATACCAACGAAAATACATTTGGGAGGCATCTTCCGCAGATAATAAAATAATGCTAATGCTTTCAATGGATGATGAACTGATGATTGAAATGTAAACCCCACGCTTGAGGAGCCCACATATGAATTAAAAACTAAACAAGGTTTCTTTTTATATGTCGCCAAATTCTACCATAATTGAGTCTTCTATTTACACAAGGCGGAAATGCCTACTCCATCCTATTTAACTACAGCATCGCCTGGCTTTGGGACATCACTGGAGTTGTCATCTTCATCCATTTGATTGCCATCCAGCAAGCGCTGGCGCTCCTCCTCATTTGCATGGCCATTTAGGTGGATTGGCGATCTGGACCTAGAGCGGGTACGGCTCCGTGCATGCCGTTCGGCATGACCATTGGCAATGTTCAGTCCAGCCACGCCCATCTCATTTCCATCGCTGCTGCTCGATGAAGTACTGGAAGTGGTGCTCGAGGTGGTGCTGCTGCTGTCGCTCTCGCTGTCCTCGCTAGAAGAGTCCATGGGTGTGGGTTGTGGCTGCTGTGGCGGCTGTTGTCTGGCTTGCAGATCGCAGGCGGAACTGGGAGTGGGAGCAACTGCCGATGGCGGGGAGGCAGCGGCCGCAGCAGCTGCCGCTGGTCCAGCTGCCGTGGAGCACGAGCGCAGAAAGTGGGAGCGCAAAACTGGAAGATGGGGTAAATGTTATTTCTGGAATTTATGGTTTCCTTATCTTAAAAACTCAGCCGCTTGTTAATTAAACATAGTATGATTACTCACATTGATTCTCCCTTGTCAACTGTCGCAACTTTTCATCCTGCGCGCGAATCTTGGCGCCAAACTCTTTAGATATGTTCTGGGCCTTGGAATAACGATCCTCTATCTGCATACACTCCTGGATGAGATCTTGCTTGCTCATTGTCTCCAGACGTTCAAGTCGTGCCCTTTCGTAGACATTAGAAAATTCCTTGGAGAGGAAAAGCACCTGATCCTCGGTCTGCGAGCCAAAGCAATTGTCATCGGAGTCGTCTTTGTGAAGCTCGGACATGTGCTCTTCCATTAGGAAGCGGTTTGTGTTGTAAGGGACGAGGAGGGATCGCGACCTTACTAACTTTGTGCGGCTAGTATGTCGGATATTTCCCTCGAGTGTAGCTCCTGCACCTGTTGGCATATCTAGTTTCCACTGTGGGTAATGATTCTTGGTTTTCTTGGGCAGCATCTTCGACTTTTTGCCCCGCCGATGCTTCCTTTTCGGCATTCCCGCTCCGCCTCCACCCCCACTGCCACCCCCTCCTCCACCACCATCCAATGGTCGCTGCTGGGTACCACTTTCTGCAAATTAAAGAATGAATTTCAAATTAAAACCGCCAAAAACTCGGAAATACAACTCTGTCAAACGCAGTGGCAAAGGGGAGAAAAAAAACAATCCAATAAGACAGTCGCCATTTAAGTACTTTCTGAATGCCGAATTTTACCTTTTTTTACAGCTTCTGCCATGTTGATAATACAATTATAGGTCTCTTTTGCACTTGATAATGTCTTTGAGCGCCTATTTCAATTTTTTTTGCAAATTTTTAAGCTTGCGAAATTTATTCTTAGCGACTAAAACTCTCAGTGTGAACAGGTCCTGGCACCTGAGTTCCACCGTAAATTCTCTGCTTAACGCGAGTGTAAATTCTCCAGATACTGTCACATTAAAGACATGAGGGCGCTAAATTTAAATTAAGAGTTTACAATTGGATCGTTCCATAGAGTAAAGATTGAAGAGTAAAGTAACTGAAAAGCATTTAAAAAAATACAATGTTTTTCTTTGTATGTCTTCTGTTTAAAATTAGAACTGAACATTACCCTTTTCAAAGTATATTACCAAATGTCTTACATATTTTATAATTAAAAATGCTCTGATTTTATTTTATTAATTTTTGTAAAAACACGAATATATTGGCACCAAAAATTTACTGACATTTTTGTATCCTTAATAATAAGCTTTTCTATGCCCTTAAATTGTCGTGAATCCAATCGATGTAGGAGGCCACCCTGGTGTAGACATCCGGCCAATCGGAATTGGGACAGGGAACGGGACCAAATGATACAAGTCCCCCCAGCAGATATCGCTCGTTTTTGTACAGCATCAAAGGTCCTCCGGCATTACCATGACATTCCTTGGAATTGGTCAATCCACAGAGCTGGGTAGATTGGACATTTAAGCGCTGACCAGCATACTTCCGTTGGCACTCCTCTATGGAGCTGATGGTGACATAACTCTTTCGCATCCTTGGCGAGGTTGTGGCCTGCCATCCTGCAATTTCGGTGACCAGACCCTCCAGTTCATCCGCTCGTAGCTGCTTGTTTGGCAAGCATATTGGGATCACAAAATCGTTGAGCTGAGCAGGATTTGCCAAACGGACGAGAGCAATATCATTAATCTGAGTCACGTCGTTTTTGTTGTAATCAGGATGTGGCCGGAGCTCTTCAACGGGTATATCCTGGTACGGGGGTGCACAATCCGCAATCTGGGAGTCCTGATGGTATTGACAATCCGGATTGGTGCTGGTGTCCCATTCACCAAGACGAACCGCTGTAATCTTCAGATTACCCGCCGCAGCCTGAGCCACACAGTGGGCAGCAGTTAGTACATAGCGATCGCTTATAAGTACTCCACCACAGGCGTGGATTTTCTCTTGATTGCCTGGAGAATAAAAGAGTATGTTGTCACTTATCAACATAGGTGAAAAAAGCACTTACTTCTAGTATACTCGATAAGGGCCAGCCAGGGAAACTCCCTGATCCGGGTTTCCGTCTCATTCGAACGCTGCCAACGAACCGTTCCACAATCCGTGGGCAGAAGTGGGTTGATTAGTGCACCCAAGCCAGCTGTGCTGGGGCAGCATACCTAGAGGATTACAGTGGTTTTTATGTTTAACACAGTTTATATAGACATATAGAAGATGCTTTTTGTAAAATGAACTAAGAAAACTAATTGTAAGTCCAATTTTGACAAAAAATATTTTTGTTTTTTAATTAAATATAAAAAATGAAAAGTGCAAGCTCAAAATATATATTATTATCTCCTTTGTTTAAACAATTAAAGCCATGGGAAAATTTTACACTGGACAAAAACACATAAAGTTAAAGTTCTTACACGTTTTTCTCAAACACAAAAATCCCACAAAAACTCATACATTTTGTTAAAAAGTTCTTATCTTTATAAAATGATAAGGGCTCAAGCGTTTTTAAAACCCAAAAAGAAATCAAGATGAGTTAGTGAAAGTGAAAACCAGAACAGGCCTATAAATTCGAGCTTTTTTTGTGATGCGCTTAATGGATCCAGTTGTGGAAGTTCAAGTTTTATTGGGTATCTTTGTCGTGAATCACCCACCTGGACGTCGTTGCCCCGCACACCGCACTGATTTTCGCGGAGAAGGATGCGATCGCTCTGGGTCAGATTGCTGGAGACTAGGATCCGCATAAAGTAGTCACAGTCCCTGATCGAAATGCAGTGACCGGTGACCCGGCCACTTGGGATTTTCGACACACAATTGATTTGGAGTTGAGCTGGAAGATCGGGGAACGGAGATCAGAGAACGTCCCGCGTTAAGTTCACTGCCAGACTTGTTTACGTTTCCATATCCCGTACACTCACCATGCGTGCCCAATGCCAACAAGCCCACAACAACAAGTAAAGCTGGAAAACTTCCCATGCCGGACCGGATCGATCAGATACGATACAGCTAAGCGGAACGAATGAGACTAACACTAAGTTCGCCCTGGGCCTCTGCCAGTGCCTGTGAATTACCAGAGAGTCGCTTTCGAGCCGGGTTCAGATAACATAATCGTAGTTGTGCAACTGGGTGCTTTGTAGAGCTTTTTAACCCCTGCATGCAGGCTTATGAATTATTATGAATTATTTCAATTATAGAACTTGAAACTTTTTGTAACGGAATTTGGGATTATAGTTTTGATCAGATAATGTAATACGCCAATAAACGATTTATTATTCTCACAATATAACAAAGCCTCTTTAAAATATTTAATAATAACATTTCATGTTTTAAAATATAATATGGAACAGAAAACCATATCACAAAACAGAAGGATTATTTTCTTCCAATAGGTTAACTTATATTTGCAAACTATTAGAATATATTTTCTTAGTTTAAAATCCACTTTAAGCTTACACTGTTTATATATACCAGTTTAATATGACTGTTTTTTAATCTAATTTAATATTTCCATAATTGAAATATTGTAGTCGCATAAAGAAGATTTAACTTTATTTAACTGCTGCAATTTAATTTAATTTAATTTAATTTAATTTCAACAACCTCATAGTCTTATCACCTGTTACAGTTTCAAATAACCGGTAATTTGGGTACAAATTCAAAACGCGGTACATTCTCCTCCACCGACGATCCGGCAGCGCCGTGGACAAACACACCCAGGTACTGGTTCCGAGCAGCAGAGTATGCGTGTGTGCGCGCGCTTGTATGGGTGCGGAGAGTGCACAGAGCTGTCCGCCATCTTGTCAGCCCGTGTTCTCTCAGCCCGACTGCAACGAAAAATTACAAATTTAATCGTTAAACGCGTTCTATGCCCAATTAAAACACCAGAAAGTGCTGCCGTACACATTTGCCCACATAAAGGATATCGTCTTGAGTATGCAGAGCTAAGAAAAAAGGGTGAAAATTGCATTTGAAAGTGGAATTGTTGGTGCTAAGAAAATTTTTTGCAGCACAAAAATTCCCAGGTCTGTGCTGGCGTAATTGTGTGTGTGTGTGTGAGGCGGTCCAGGGTTGCCGAGACGTGAACCAAAAATTGCTAGAAAGAGCTTTATTAGGGGTAAACCCGTCGAAATTATGATGAAATCAGTGATATTCAGTGCTTTTAATTATCGAAATGGCTAGAGAATTTTTTGGGTTTCAAAACTTAGTATTTCTTGGCCCCTATTATAATTTGTAGTGAGATGACAACCCTGTCCATGGGAAGGGTACTCAAACAACAAAAACCAAGTACGTTGCGCGGCGCCACTTTGACGTTCGAATCGTCATCAGACGGTTGGTAAATTTTCTCGCTCTCGTCGCTCTCGGTTTTAGCCCCACCGTATGCGTGTGTTTGTTTGTGCCTTGTGTATGTGCATGTTCGTGTGAGCCCGTGACGCATTCTTGTTTTGCATCGAAAATCACCAAAAGAAATCAAAGGAAATCACCAATAAAGCTGTTAAAGCCAAAAATTATTATAGGCTAAAAATCCAAGCATAGTTAAAAATCCAACGACCCTGCATGTGCAACTCCAATAGCAAGTGTATGTGTGTGTATTAAGTGGGGAGTGGTGGCAGCTGTGGGGGAAGGAAGCGAACGAGCCGCAAAAGAGAGCCAGAAAAAAGGGCGAGGGCGACTGGCTGGAAAAAAGAGAAAAAGAAAAAAAACGGAAAAGGAACAAGAGAAATCATAAAAACGCCGGCAACAGCGATTCTCGAGTGCCCTCCCCTCCACGTACGCCAACAACACACCCACAAACCACAAAGCAAATGACAAACAAAACTAAAACAAAACGAAATTCAAAACGCGCTCCCCTCAAAGTTCATTTACACGGAATTCATTATTTGTTTTGTTTAGTTTTGTAGATTTGTTTATTGGCGACATATGTGTGATGATGAGCCCCAACAATATTACTGCCCCCTGTCTAATGTGTGTATGTGTGTGTTTATATTGCCAAAAATCTTCGCAAGTGTTGAGCAATGTCCGTGAGAAACCGAGACAATCGTTATCTTGGCTTTAACGGAACAGATGTGTGTTGTTTTTTTTTCCTTACCAACAACAGCTGCCGCTCACTAGCAACAGCAACAACAACAGAATACAAACCAAAAACCAAAAATTTCATACACTTTAATTAAAAAATACGAAATAGTGATCGTAAACCTTGGTTATTTTATATTTTGAACGCTTTTGGTTTTACTTAATGCGACTTATAATTATAGCACGGCTGTAAAATAATAGTAATACCACTATTGTATGTGATTGCATAAAGGAAGCGTTAAGGTTAAAGGAAGTTGTTTATTTCAAGCCTCCTTCAAGCAAATCTTCAACATCATAATGGCATTTTAAATGGATATATTAAATAGATAAATGGTGTAATTGGCGTAAAAAGCTTAAATGGCCTATAAAGACTGTATTCCAAAATCAAAAAATTAGTTTAAAAAAAAACCCACTCCATTTAAGTTAGAAATAAACCCCAATTTTTCATAACATGGCATGATTATTTATTTGAATAAATCAGTGATTCATATTTTGAAAGTTTGTTTAAGCATTAAAAAGACCAATTAATGTTTATTGGTTTTAAACCGCGAAAAGGCAAAGAAAAGTGAGACACAAAATCTGCGAATGTGAAACCGCTTATGACTCACAATTTTCGGTTTTGTGGTTGGCAGTCAAAAAAACAACAGAGTCAGATAAATGCTCCCTGACTTGTATTTTGTTCATTCTGGCAGTACTCCCAAGGTTTATCAGAGTTTCTTCAAGGCAGTGCACACTGTACCCCATTGCTCTGGAGGCAAGAGACCACCTCTGTGGGAAGTGGACGGGCCTACGTGCGATGTAAAAGTGGCCAAGAGCTGGAGCCGTGCAGATGGAGTTCGTTTGGCTTCAGTGGCTGGCTGAATAAACTGAACCGCATGTCTGGCTCTTGGCTCTTGGCTTTTACCTCATACCGCTTTTACCTCTCCAACTGAATCTCCATTTCCAGCTGCCTCTGCTGTGGTATCCCGCCCTTCTTGTTTTCCTCTTCCCCACCCGGTCGTCATTATATTACGTTTTTTTGTTTGTGCTTTTTTTTGCGCTTTGCACAATTTAGCCTTCAGTTTCCGGTTATGAAGGAAGCAGCAAACGGGTTCAGACCCGGTCTTTCTGCCTCTTTCCCTCATTCGCCGACGATGTAATGTGCATTTAAATGCAATTTCTGCTGTGCGTCAATGTCGATGAGTCTGCAAAAATATGGTATCATGAAAGCCCGCCGAAAATTCAGAAATCATACATATCTCATTCTTATCGCTGAAGTTACTAACGTTTTAACGTTAATTTCGCACATCAAAACGTCATTTCTATTAATATACATTACTTTTGTACTTTATGAATAATCGCTATCTTATCTATTTTATTTTTAATCATTTTCATATTAAAGTTTTACTTGGAAATCATGATAGTTTATGTACAATGTATGTCAGATTTGTCTACTTTTTCGTAATAAACAGCTGTCAAACACCTTGTAAAATCCCTTACTAACTACCTGCTGAAATATTGAGAAATGTTTCTAAAAACTACGGTTTTAGGCTAAAAACAAGGGTGTTAGGGCCCGGTGCCTAAAAACATGTGTTGTAAATGAATGCCGCCTAGTGTTTTTTCCTACCAGAATGTTGAAAACTATTCAACTGGTTGTAGTCACACTCGTGTATTTTCCAGTTCTAGTATTTTCATGCTGCCGTAGCTCAGTCAGCGTAACGCCTGGAAACGCTTTGCTCTCGTAATTAACCTCTCGACCGACCGGCTTTCTGCCTGCCTGCCTATCTGCTGCTTACCTGGTCGTTACTACCTACCTGGCCAAACCAATTCATCCATCTCTATCTACCCGCAGCTCGCTTAACCAACCAACCTTTTGAGCAGGGCTTCTTGGGCCATCGAAACCCAAAAGCAAAACATTCGTGTTTCACGGCATGCGTTTTCCTCGCAGGTTTTCATCGTTCGTTCTTTGCAATACTGCCGAAAGGTGCCTCAAAATTTTCCATTAATTTTAGAGCAACAACAGACAAATCGCCTCGAAAATCCATGAACATGATCTATTATTCCATTGCTTGTGCGTTTCACATCAAGTATTCAAGCATTTAATTTTAAGTCTTTAAATTAAATAATCTAAAACTGAGTCTGACTCAGGTACTATTTAAGTCATTCTTTGTTCCAAAAACTGGTTGTTCATATCAAAAGTAAACTAGTTTAGGAACAATGAGTGATTTTGAAGATTAATATTACAAATAGTTTGTCAGCAAAAATGTACCTTCTCTTATTTTGAATTGGAGCTCAGCATTATTAATCACGAATAATTAAAAAAAAATAAAACAAATTAAAGTTAATGTCCTGCGACTTTTTCATGGTTTCCATTGCCACTGACTTACACACACGCATTAAAGCGATTCCAAATATAGAAAATCAATAGACATTAGCTGCGATTCCATTAGAATCCCATCTATTATTCCATACTATTTGGTGTCACGCTATAAACCGAAATCTTAAAGACAGTATTGTTTTAAATTCAGTTGATTAAATTGACTTTTCTTAGGTAAATTGTAATGACATTTGTGTTGCAATAATTAGTAATTACCATTCAGAAAGACATTTGATTTCATGGTTCCATTAGTCTGACATCTATTATTTTGTATTCGTAGCCTCTCTTTGTTCAATATAAATTTTAGACACTAAGAATTAAGCATCTAAAGATCAGTGATCTCAGTTTTTTTTATATACCATCCAGCGGCTATTTGTAAGGTTTCTATTAGCTTGTCTTGTATTTTTTTTGTTCAGGTTCGATGGCTTGTCTCTGCAACTTTGACTTCTTTTGTCTTGGCGTTCTTTGGTTTTTCTTGCTTTTATTTCTCGTTTCTTGTCCCTGCTTCTTATCATTCGAGCGTGTTTCCAAAACCAAAACCAAAAAAAAAAAAACGAGTTAACATTTATAAGACCAAAAATGGCCAAAAAGCAACGACTTGCTCAGAGATCGTTCGGAAGAACAACAAAAGCAAACAATAACAAATTCCCAGCATCGTCATTATTTGCAATTATCGACAGTTTGCCTTTGTGCGGTTTCCTCCATCTTTCATCTTCCTCTCTCTCTTTTGTGTTGTTTGTACGCTAAAATCTTGGACTTCGTATTCGTCTGCGCTCTTGAGATCAAAAACCTTTACTTGGTGTTATTGAGGTATATCGCAAGGAAAATGTCTATATGATAAATCAACAAGAATGCCTTCTGAGTTTCTTACATGTAAATTAATATTAATGACTATTCTAAACAAATGGATTTCTAAATTGGTTTTAAAGAGATTGCAATAAAATTGGCACTTATTGGCTCTAAAAGTATTGTGTCTAAAATGAGTAAGAATGGAAGTATGGTTAAATAAATAAGTTATTCAGTAATAATAATAACCATAACTCCAAATAACCCAATCGGATGTTCCGTTTGTCGTATGATGTTTGTATAACTAAGTTTTATAGGTAGTACCTATAGATAAGATATCGATATGGTATTATTCTATATCCCCAACTGAAGTTGTTTGATTTATGTTCGATGTGTATTCGCTAGGCCTTAGCCTTAAAGATATCTTTCAATGTCTTCCGTCAGTTCGTCGGATGAATAAGTAAAAATAAGAAACATAAACAAAAGTGTCACGTACACTGCAGCACTCTCATGTACAGCAAAGGAGTCGTGTTGAATGCGTTAGTGGGTGTAGAACAGGGGGATTTCGGATTGGGATATGTGCGGTATGTTAAGATGAAGGCATGTGAAGTGAAGTGAAGGGAACTACTGGCAAATGCTTTCAAAGTCATTTCCGTCTTTCTTGGAAAACGTAAAGAAAGCATAAACAAACAAAGAAGCATTCCTCACGCAGCTACATACATACATATGTACATATAAGTTGGATAACGTGTTCTTCCCGAGCTTGTATGCGCATATTGTAATCATAGAATACTTGCCTTCCCGGCCGGAATTGAAATCAATATGTGCGAAACTAATCAAAAGCTGTAAAGCGAATGAAAACAATGAGCACACTGAGCGGAAATGTGAAATATTTCTATATACCCCTCATATTTCTCCTTATATAGTCTGTATATGGTGTTGTCAGTAATTGTACCGAGTCTTTCCTTCTTGATATTTCTTTATTTCCCCCAATTCGTTGGAAAGTCCAGCAATTCGCCCCCGATTTGCGCTTATCTTGTTACTCTTCTCCCGTTTTTTCTTCTTTCACCGCCTCTGTTTTCTTTCTCTGCCCCAATAATTGCTGTTTCGCTAAGTTCAATAAGATAATAGTATTCCTACGCAGTTGTTTTTGTTTCGCCTTCCATATATAATGTTTGTATGTATTTGTGCACACAAACGTGCTTCTTTGATTTGCTTTGCATGCAAATTTGTGCGAATTTTTTTTGACGCGCTTGGTCAGCGAACGGTTGTGGTCAAGAAACTAGTATTACTACATACATATTTATTTTATATCATATTCTTACTTTTCATTACTATTAGTGGGCGATTAAATCTAATTTTGTTATTAATGGACTTCAATAATAAATTTTATTATGATTGGTTTTACTAAAAATGCAGTTGTTTCTAAAGCGTGACTTAAATGTTGTAAAGAAATGGCCTTTTAAGATATGTACATACATATGTATAAATATCTATTTAATAATGTTTATAATAGCTAATTTAGTGGTTCAATCATAAAAGTTAAGTGAAACCTTGAAATCAGTGTCTTATTATTTTGTCCGCAAGTGTTTTCAGATGATTGTTTGTCTGGGTTTATTATTTTTAATTATTACGATTTTGCTGCGCTATCAGCATTTGTATTTGTTATTAACGGCGGCGGTGCCAAGCGGCACCAAAAGCACAAAATAAAAGCGAAGAGAGTCGAAGACGAGAGAGGAGTAGGGGAAAAAGAAAAAAGACAGTGAAAGAGGGGGGAAAGTAGAGGCAGAAGCGAAGCGGAAAGAAAGCAACGAACGATTCACTTGAACTGGTTTCGGCGAGCAGATTTATTTATTTTGATTCTAGTTTGTTTTTATTATGGCATTCGTTTGCCTTGATTGTGTTTGTGTGTGTGTCGTTGCGTGGCTGTGAGGTGTGTTTGTGTGAAAGGAAGAGAGCAAATGTGTGTGTGCAAATGCATTTTAGCGGAGAGCACGTGACAACGCCCATTTATGACGTCTTCCTTTGAACTTTAAGCTTATTGATTTTGTAACACATTTTTTAATTGCAGGTCAAGTAAGGAAAGATAAGACAACAATAGAGCAACAAAAACAGCAGCGTAAAGTAAAGAAAGAACAAATAGACAGAAAGAGCAGGAAACAAAAGCGGCGCCGGCTTCACATTGGACATGTCATGTCAGCAAGCCTCCAGATTCCATTCAGCCACCGCAACAGCCACATTAGCCAAGAGCACAGCCACCAGAAGGATTGCTACAGCAGCAGCATCAGCAACTGCCACAGCAGCAGCTACTGTAGCAGCAGGAGCAGTGATAACCACAGTAACAGCAGCGCTGACGCCAGTGGAGAGCATTGCCGGCAAGACGACGTCCGAGGACTCGGATCCATATGCCTTCACAGAGACTGTGGCCGTCGCACCGCCCATTTTATTCAATGCACAGGTATGTAGGGTCACCTGGTAAAATTTCTTGACAAAGATCAAGGAATTTCAAAAATACTCATATTATTAACCACTATAGAATATGTTTCCTACGACGTAATTCTTGTTAAAACCAAACTAAAGTAAAATAGCTTTGTCAACTGTACGGCGCAACCTTTTCATCCTAAGTGTATTTAAGCATTAGAAAACATTTAAATATAATTCTACCATTTTGTTTAAAAAAATCAGAAATCTATGCTAAATATTTCGCAGAAAATAGGTTCTAGAACCTAGAATAAAAACCGGTTTCAAACAGTATTCCCCAGTACCCTCCTTTAGACCGTCTGCAATAATACATTGTATTTATGCAACAATACTACATCAACCCTTTTTACCAAATTGTTTTGTTTACCTTTTGCAGAAATCTAGAGCCCGCTTAAGCGACAGCAATAGGGGCAGCAACAAGAGGCAGACAGCAGCAACAGCTGCGGCTAGCAGAAAGGCAAATCTGGTGGCCCAATTGAATGTCACAGCAGCATCAAAGGCGCAGGCGTCTTTGGCGACTAACACAACGAATTTCAATCATGTCACGCAATCTCAGAGACAATCGCCGGCGTTGCAGTTGCAATTACCTTTGCAATCACAGTCGCAGTCGCAGGCCTCTCCGAAGAGGGCCACCAACGTGTGCATAGTCCGCCCTCAGCAGCAGCAGCTGGAGAAGATAGCACCTTCGGAGTCCTGCCAGCTGCCGTCGGCACCACCCCCGCTGTATGCCCACACTCCATCTCTATGGCAGACGCCGCTCCTCCTTGACAATGGGCAAAAGCAACCGCAACAGCTGCAACCACAACAGAAGCAGCTGCAACAGCAACAGAAAGCACAGAAGCTGCAACATGTCCAACAGCAACAGTTGCATCAACAGCAGCAACAGCATCTTTTGCAGCAACAGCTCCTCCAGCAACATCAGCAACATCTCCCGCAGCATCAGCAACAGCTCCTTTTGCAACAACACCAACAGCTTCTTCAGCAGCAGCAGCAACAGCAATCTGTTGCGATTGCGTTGGTCAGCCCGCCCACATCGCCCGCCTCATTACCTTCGCCTACTTTGCCGCCTGCCACCGCTGCAGTGACCGCCATGGTAGCACCGATCTCTGTATCGCCCAAGGGTGGATTACCTTTGCCGCCATCGAAATTCCATCATACCACATTGGCGCAACATTTGCAGAAGGTGGAGTGTTTGAAGAAAAAGAAATCCTTGCCATTGGCCTGCCAAAACAACAACAACAATAACAAATTGCAGAACAATAACAATGTGGTGGAGTCACTTCAAAAACCGGTGGTGCAGGGATCGAACTACAATCAAACTCAGCCACCACCCCTGATGGTTTTTAATACGGGAACAGTTGCAGTTTCCACGCCGACTCCACAGATTGCTGCTCCACAGAAACATTCCACCAGCAACAATGTGGATGACAGCGATCTTAACGAGATACCCGTCAACGTTATCTTCCGAAAGCCTTCAATGGCGGGCGGAGCAACGACGTCGGCAGCAGAAGCTGCAGGAGTCATAAGTGGCACTGGACCGGGGTCAACACTACAGCGGCCCACGGGAAATAAATTGTTGACACCTCTGACGCCGCCAACTCCGCCTGAGATGAGTGCACCGCCTTTGCTTGCGCAAATGCAACCCCAGATGCCCACATCTTGTGTTCCGTCTTTAGCTCCCAGCTTCAAAGTGGTGCCACCAGCAGTTGTCAGCACCAAAGTGGTATCACCAGCTCCTCCAAGCTCAATGCCCTCGGTTACAGCAGTGCCCGCTTCAACGAACTTACTGCAGAGTGCACCATCAGCTGTTCTAGCCACCACAACCTCATCAGCACCCGCATTAGCCAAGAAAACTGAACAAATGTCTTCCAAAGTGGCCAATTTAAACGCCGCCAACCATCAAGCGCCAATAGCTTCAAAAGGTGGCAGAAAAGGCATCACTAACACTAACAACAATAGAAACGATAACGTTATAGCAAAGAAACAGCCACAATCTTCGATGCCGCCTCCAAAGGAGCCGAGTCCATCATCAGCAAACAAGGCAGCAGATCCGGAATATCGTCAGCGACGACGCAAACCTGCCTCTAAACGCAACGTAGCAAATTTGAGTGAGAATGAAATCTATCCGGCAGATTCCCCCTACTGCCTGCAACAGCACTGGCTGCACTCTGGATTCAAGGAGAAAACCAACGACACACCTCTTTCGCAGAGCAACCGTCGTGAGGAGCGGATTGCGCTCCGAAAAGGGTTCTTGAGGCGACAGGCGCTGCAGTTGCTGTCTACAAGGTCGTTACAGGAGCTACCCATGCGAGCGGCTAAACAGCGATTGCAGAGCGTCCAAAACTTGCTGATTAAATACCAGGATCACGCTGCACAGCAGGAGGGAGTGTAAGTAAACCTAAAATATATTTTGGATATCATCTAATTTGAATCCTTTTTTCAGTGGAATTGGCAACCGATGCTTGGTGGCCAGCTGCAAGCAACCCACGCTGAGCATGGCGGCGCACTGTGAGCGCCACATTGTGAACAACGGCACGCAGCAGCTATTCCAACCCTGTGTGGCATGGCGCGTGGATGGAACCGCTTGCCATGCTCCTGTCTTTGATGTGCTGCACACACTGGCTCTCTGCAAAGTGCACAGCCACCTGCGGTCCGGAATGGATGCATCCCGTCCGGCACCGAAGCAGGTGCTGCCCGTAAGCTTACCTGTCACAGGAGTGGCAAACCAATATGTTCCCGCAAAGCAACAGCGAAAGCGAAAGGCAAACACAAATCCCGTGGCTCGTCCGCAGAAACGTGGCAGAAAGCCGGCAAATGAACTAATGGTTAACCACATCAGCAACCCGATAAATACACTGACGCTGACTCCTTCGGCGGGAATGCAACGCAAGAGCAGCACCACCTCTCTAGAATCCATTGCCAGCAATTCACACTCATCGGCCACCTCGCACTCCCAGCCGCCGTATACACCAGTAAATGTGTCAGTTGCGGTTTCTGCAGCACAGAACTTACCCCAGCTATCAATTCCACCAGCATTGGCTCCACTCAGCGGTGATTTCGAGCCCAAACAGCAGCCAAATGAACCGCTCTTGGTGCCCAAATTGGAGGTGGATACGTTGTTTAAATTGGAGGCCGATCAACTAACGTTGGACAATGCCCATATCAAGGCCGAGGAGATTAACCAAATTGTAGCCCAATTGGCGGCCGCCGGTGGTGATTTGCCACAACACAACAATAACAACATAAATAGCAACCATAATAACAATAGTGTGCACTTCAACAATAATAATATGAACTATAGCAACAATAACAACAACCAGCACAGTTTCCCCTCATTCAATACGGCATTTGGCAATGCCATGGGTCAGCCCACAATCACGCACAATGGTCATGCTGCTCACACTGTGTTGGCCAACACGACGGATCTACTGAGCCAGGATATGTTCGGAATTTGCGAGAACAGCTCGGCTTATGCCAGTTCAGAAGACACCGGCCTGGGCGGGCTCAGTGAGTCGGAGCTGATAGGCGCTAACGATGCTGGTAAGTTCTAAATCGAAATTTTACCAATAGACTTTCATTGGTTTCAAAATTGGGGCTATTGGACTTGAGTTTGATATAAATCTAATCGAATACCTTTTATTGCAGATGACATAGCATTGAATGGTGCCCACTTACTGGAGGAGCACGATCTGGTAAATGTGTTCGACACTCTGCCGGACGATGCTTTCAACGAACTGTTCCAATCCGGTGTGTATTTAACAACAATTTTACTTGTTCAGCTTTTCATTGTACTAATCCATGTGTGCCTCCGTTGCCACCGCCATTGCCAATGCCATCGCCATCGACCTCGCCTTGGATCTGTGCCGATGCAGTGCAACAAGCCGAGTGCGAGGCCATGGACCGGGCTTTGGAGATCGCCGATAAGAACCTCAAGTGTCTGCAGCAGACGATCGGCGGTTCGGACAGCGCCTTTCTTAATGATTTTCTGGAAGTCGGCGACGATTTTCTGGCCGATGCTGCGATGCACTCACCGAACACATCCGGCATCGATGCTGCCACTCTCTGCGTAGACAGCAGCAGCGGCGGTGGAAATAGTAGCAGCAACGGTGTCACCGACATTCGGGGCTTGGTTCAGACCTAATTCTGGCATCGGGTGGGATTTAGGGCCTGCAGATTTCTCCTCCACAGAAAAAGAGTGATTTTCCAAGCTAAAAGTTTCCTTCAACTTTCGGGCAGCTTTCGCTAAAAGTTTCAATACTTTCTTTTTGGCCAATTTCTTAATTGCGATTCTGGTTCAGCACTATCTTCTATATGCTGCTTAAATGTTATGCCTGCATACTCGTACTCCAGAAAATATGCGTGAGAGCTAGATAACATTAAAAAACCATATAGTTATGCGTTAATGTGAAAAACATAAAAAAAAATTACAAAAATTAAAAAACTTCGAAAAAAATGTCCAAAAATATTTAATTCAACATAAAGAAGAAACAACAATAAGAATGAAATGTATATGTAACCAACCGTACACACAGAAGAAACATAAATTATGTAAATTTGCGGGAAACTGTAGCATTACATAACTCTTAACGTAACTTAATTTGTTAGTGAAACAACAAAGGATTGTAGAGAGCAGCTTTATTATACATATAAAAAAACGTAAAATGATAGAAGAGATAACCAGAGCAAACAGAGAAAATGAAACCGAAATAGTAGGAAATCTAGCAACAAATTTTGAATTCTGAATTAAATGCACGAACGCGATACATTTGGAGAGTTCGTTAACCTAAGTAAGTCTAGAATTTGTTTAAACAACATTTTGTGAGCGCATTTATAACAAGAACACCTTACACTCAAACGAGAATTGCAATCAATTTCAACAGAAAAACAAAAACATGAGAAGCAGAAAAAGTTTTAGTTTGGTTTAGTTCTTGGTTTGCACGTAATACAAACACACACACACACACATATACACTCACACCTACACACATACATACATACAACGTACAAGGGACTAGTTTGAAACCGCGAATCGTATTACTAAATATATATACAACTATATATAATTATATATAAAATATAAATATATATATACATGATACTACTTAAATATATCTGTACACATACGTTTAAGTGTAAGCTTTAATTTAAACCAACCCACAAACAAAGAAAAGGAAAAATCTATAACAAAAACAAAAAAAAAAACAAAACAAAACAATACAACAGAATGTAAAAGTGTAAACTTGATTTATTTTTAAGGTCTTTTATTTAGCCATTGCGCGATGGCCGAAAACTTCGTTCGATTTTAATTTAGCCTAACAAATTTTAAAAGCAAAATTAGGCTGACCGACAATTTTTGAGTTTCTTACCTTGCGTTTGTCTATATAGATTCTGTAAATTAACAAATATTAAATAGAACATAAATGAAATGTAATTTTCTTTAGTCTAGTGACAAGCAACCACTTATAAAACGAGATATATTTATACAACCAATACACAAAACAAGCAAGAAAACTGTTACGCTTTAAAATACGATATATATATATATATATAAATATATATATATATATACCATATACCACTCACTCGAGCCCGATCCCAAAATTACAGCAAAAACAAATTCAGACCCAAACCATTCCATCTTCCCATCCATTGTAAGTTTTCATTTATCATCTTTCACCTGGAATCTAAGCAAGTATTAAATGAATGAAAAACGTTTAATAACACTAGATTACTATGTATTTGTATATGTATCACACGCATCGACTTTTCATTATGTTTAAGCACACCCCATCGCACACTCGGAACACTTGCATCTTTCATAGGGATTTTCGTAAGGGCCGTGGCGGAAATCGAAGCGAAACGATAGGAGCAGAATGAACTACTTTAAACATAATGGAACTCTGTAATATATGATATACGATTAACTCCCACACTCTCACTCTCTATCTCTATAAACCCTATATAGATATATAACTGTATTCGTTCTTGAGTTAGTTGATTACCGATTACTGGGTTGATTACTGATTAAGTTGGCCCGCACTTTACTCTGATCTACTTCGCTGTGCAAGTGACGCGAACAAAAATTTACGCCTTTTTTTTGATTTGTTTAGTAGCGAAACTACAAAACCATGTATTTGATTATATGCTTTAAAAAAAACTATTTTTTACAATACTTTACTTTATAAGAACTGTAGCGATGAACCTACAAGTCCACATCCCTCCAGTAGCCGCCTCGTTTTCATTATTTGAAGTTTTGTCTATGTTTTCGGTATGAGGTACAATTTCATTTTGTAATTTACGTGCATTTTTGTGATCTAATTTGTGTAACTATTATAAACAAACAAAAACAAAAAAATAAAACAAAATACTTTAAGAAAACGAAAAAAAAAAAAAATAAAACAGATCGAAGCAAATGAAAAAAAAAAACTTATTGATTTTATGGCAACTGAATATTTTACCCTGAAAATATAATACAATATTTTTAGTAAAAAAAACCAAAGCAACTGGGCTTGTCATTGATTCAATGGGAAGGGAACTGATAGTTGGGAACTTGGAAATGGGAGGCGGAGATCCTGGCAGGCGATGGCCAGACAATCAGAGCCTCACATTCGTTTAACAACATAATTTTCTCCTAGGAAACAGTTCGTTTGCCTTCACACGTACTCCGAGTAACTCCCGTAAACAAAATACAAAAAATCCGCAGAACCACCGTTTAAGAAACCCGCCAATCCTGCACAGGTTTCTTACAGTGCGTTCCATCCCATTGCAGTCAAGTTCTTAAATTGAGAGGTTTCATTGAAAATTATTGATTTATTGTGCGTGTTCCTTGAACGACCTTTAAACCATATCAAATCTATTCGCAACAAGGAGCATTCGGATAAGCGAAATTAAGAGAAACTGACCATATCTGGTCCGGATCTTCCACGTTCTGCCACGGTGAGTATTCGGATGTCCTTATTCTTAAGATTATTATATAGTATCATATCTTAGTAGGCGATCAGTTTGCTTTCGGTTGTGATACATACAAATGCCTTTCTGAGCTGTCACATTTCCGATTAGTCACTATTTTTTTACGTTTGTAAGCTGCCGCCAGTTTAAGAAGCGGCGCCACGGGGTTGCCTAACCGGGGTAAGTGGACGCCACGTTCTCCTCGTAACTCCAATAACGAGCTCCTATACTCCAGCAGTTGAGCTCTATACGTATATTTTTTATAACAATATTGCTGAGCAGAAGACTGTCCACTGTTTTCTATCTGAGAACCTATCTCCCAGGTAAGTTTATTTTGTCTCATTTCAAAATTAAGCATTAAGCATAAGTGATAATATATATTTATAGTGTATAAATCTTTAAAAATCATATTTTTATTAGTACACGTTCCTTAACTTTACGTATTTCTTTTCCTTACGATATAGTTGTACTTAAAATGATATTTTGAGCTTTCGATATATTTACATGGGCCCTACGAGCTGATCTAAACCTAAGTCTAAGCTAGGTACAATAAATAATGTGGACTGTTTGTGCTATAACTCCGTGGTCTCCAGTTTTCTGGCCAGGATTTGAGCATTGTTGGTCAGCTTGTCGATTTGGTTATACAAATTGAAGTGCCTGTTAAGATCGTTGCTGTTGTTAAATAGTTTGGCAGTTCCTTTGAGGGTTTCGTGCATATCCTGAGTCGCCGCTGCTAGAAAGTTGTCATCCAAAGAATCGTGCCCTTCAATGCTAATAATCCTGTTTATTAAAAATATAAGTGTAATAGGATTTTTCGTTATTGTCTTACCTGCCAGTTTCCTCTGATTTGAACCACTCGTTGTCATAGCCCTTTAGCCAAATAGGATTTGATCCTTGGACACTGTGCTTGTTCGTATTTGGTACTCGAGTAGCTGGCTCCTGGGCGTGTTGCAGGGACATCGAAGAGTGGCCACCTGGAAAGGATTGGTACACAATTAATGTCACAATAACCTTTATCGTGACCTTAACTTACGGAAAATATTGACTTTTGCGGCTCTCAGCTGCCTGCGGTAACCATTCCTCTGAGAGGCACAAAGTGCTATAGTAACCACCAATAATGTGGCCAAAAAGAGATTGGTAAACACAAGCCAGACGAATAAAGGACCTCGGGTGGGTCCTGCGGTCAGCAGCTGAGCTTCCGCCGCCTGCGTGTCCAGCACATTAAGCTCCTTGAACAGCCCGTCCAGACTTTCGATGTGAGAGTCAATGAGTTTAAGCACCTCATTTACCTCGTAAATAGAGTTATCTTCGCGTTCGACTAGATGCATGTACAAATCCGTCTTTGTTTTGTCCACCGAACCATCCTTGTTCTCATGAACTTTTATCTCGTCTATGTTGACAATCGATTCTGTGATATTGCCGAGGGTGCTAAGAGTTTTTATATGGAATTTATATTAGAAGGTTATATTCTTTAAAGTTCAAATTATTACTTACTCTCTAAAAGTCTCCACCCGAGATCGCAGTTCATCCGGCTGAAGGCGGAACACAAACCGAACCTTTTGGTCTTCTCTTAATAAGTATATAAATACATGAGCCACATCCCTCATTCCCGAGGTGTCGTTGGCCAACACAACAAAATCGAAATAACCTTTCATACCCTTTTGCGGGTCAAAGTTTAGCTGCACCTCTCCTGTTTCCTGATCAAGAAGAAACGGAGCTTTGCGTACATTTTCCAGTCCTTCGGAAAGAGTCTGACGAATTTCCCCCACTTGGTAATATCCAATCTTTCCATTAACCCCCTCATCAGCATCCGTAGCCTCCACACGCATGAATTTCAAGCCGAAATCCGCATTAGTCGTTATTCCGCCAGTAAAGATTTTCGAACGGAAACGAGGAGGATTATCATTGATATCCAGTACTCGTACATTGACCTTCACCACAGTGCTATCTGGCTTCAAGGCTTCAGCTTGATCCTCCTGAGTAGTATCATAGTTTTCATAAGAAGCCATCTCTTCATCCTCTGGTCCATATTCATTACTCTCAGGCGATCTCAGTTGTCGGGAATGCTTGAAGCGGTCATATTCTATCTTCTGATTATGCAGATATCCTCCCAGCCTATTGTTAATCTCGATACCCATACGACGACGTTTTCCACCGCCAGATAAAGAATCATTGCCACAGTTTTCTGTGGCACGCACATAGAGGGTGAAGTTAGCCGCCACCTCGCGATCCAGTTCGCGATCAACAGTTAATATGTGAGTTTCAGGATCTAGGCGAAAGTATCCCGCCTCATTTCCATTTACTATAAAGTAGCACACTTGACTGGGCGCCTCATTAGGGTCGTCTAATTCCAATTGATCCTTGTCTATGGTGTCGGGTAGCTTAATCCTTTCAGATCCAGGATCTGCGTGTTCCGTAAAGTTCAACGATATTTCGTTGACAATAAATTGGGGTTCGTAATCGTTTACATTTCGCACATAAATGGTAAGATCCAAGTCGGAACTTAATGAGGTGGGCAAGCCCTGATCGTAGGCTTCTATGCGGATCTGTAAGGGAATGGGGTGTAAATCATATTGGTTTCATATTGAAGTTAAATCCTTACCTCATGAATCTTTTGCTTCTCCCGGTTCAGTGGCTCCCTCAGAAAGAGCTCCCCTGTATTGGCATTCACTTCGAACATTTTGTAACTGCCCAAAGGATCGGGTTTAAGCCGATATCTAACCAGTGCATTCTGTCCCATATCTGCATCACTGGCATAAGCCTGGAGTATCAGTGTGCCCACAGTAGCGTTCTCCGGAATTCGAACTGTTGTGTTATGAAGTGGCCTTACAAAAACTGGAGCATGATCATTAAAATCCGATACGCAAATGTCCAGAGTGCTGTGCATAATATTTGCCGGTTGACCCAAATCTCGTGTGGTTATAGTAAGGCTATAGTTTCCAAACCTATTGCGAAGACTCTTACTAGCAAAGATTTGGGCATTCCAAGAGTCTACCTGACGAAGCTCAAACATGCCTAAAATTAAAGTAATATTTTAATATAGGAAGGATCTAATATCATTAAAAACTATACCATCCTTATTCCCCTGCGTGATGGCAAAGTCCAGTCTTCCGTTTGGAGTGCTTGGATCATCTGCATCCTTGCCCACTATGCTAGCCACTCGCTCATGCAGCTCATGATACTCGGTAATTAAGACACAACTGCTGGGAAGAGTCACCTCTGGAGGATTGTCGTTCTCGTCCAATATGGAAATGCTAAAGGATTGAAGTAGTAATGTAAAACATTCATACAAAGAAGAAGTGAAATAACTTACAAGACTTGCTTAAAGGCATTCCGACTTTCCCCCGCCAGAAAACCAAACTGATAGTTATCCCAGGCTTCAATTACCAGGTTATACGAATCTTTCGTTTCCCTATCTAGACGATCAGCCACTGTTAGCACTCCAGTGTCCGCATCTATGGTGAATTTTCCCTGCGAACTAATGCGGTCCATCAGGAAGGTTATCTTCCCAAAATCCCCAGAGTCTGCATCACCGGCCTGTAAAGTGGCTACTCTAGTTCCTGGAGCTGCATTTTCACTAATCGTATAGTTCTTGCTGCCACCAACAAAATAAGGATTATTATCGTTCTCGTCCAGCACTGTTATATACACATCGACTAGTGAGGATCTAGCTGGTACTCCAGAATCCGTGGCCCTTACACTAAAATTTAGCCACTGATGCTGTTCATGATCAATCTTGCTGGCCACTACAATCTCTCCTGTTTGTGAGTCCAGATGCATTAGTGATCGATAGGTGGGATTCCCCTCTAGAGCATAGGTTATTGTTCTATTCTTGTCCACATCTGAGGCCAGCACATTCACAATCATTGCTCCATTGATGCTGTTTTCCGTGATTGATTGTCGGTAGAAGGGCAGACGGAATTTTGGATTATTATCATTCTCATCCAGCACTTGAATGCTTTGGAAACCTACAAAACGATGTGTTTAAGTATATTTCGTTAAAGAGGTGTATATAGTAGACGAACCTTCTGCTATTTGCCTGCCCTTGGCGGCTGCCAGATCCTCTACAGTGATGGCTAGCTTAATATGCTCTACTCTTTCGCGATCCAGCAGTTTAACTACCTTAAGGGATCCTTCGATGGGATCCACTTCAAAGGCTCCCAAAAAGTCATACTCGCTACTTTTCACCAAAGCTCCCTCCTCAGTGCGGCCTTCGCAGTGCTCTGCGTTTATTTTGTAGCGCAGAATGGCCTTGTCATCCAAGTCCGTTGCCTGGATCCGATAAACTAGTGTTCCCACAGGTGTGTTCTCTACGATCTTTAAGCCAGGCAGTTCAGTTAGTACAGGAGGTTTGTTATTTACATCCTGAATGCTGATGTTCACTGTACAAGTGGTCATTAGTTGGGAGTTGCCTAAGCCTCCATCAAGAGCAATCTGATATAAATGAAATAAGATGAAAGAAGAGATTTGGAGAATTTTCCCAAAGAACTTACCACTGACAGGGTGTACAGGGATCGCTTGCTGTCTGTAAGATCTGGGTCTAGATTGGCACCTTGTGCCACCGAAATAACACCTGTTTCCGAATTAATGATAAACTTGTCGCTGGCACCAGTTTGTATGCGATAGACCACCACATTGTTAGGCGAGGATCCATCTCGATCTATGGCTGTGACCTGCAGCACCGGACTACCACCTGACAGATCCTCAGGAACTGTTTTCGCATAGAAACTACGTTGGAATATCGGTGCATTGTCATTCACATCCTGCACGTAAATTAGAACAGGAACCACTGTGGAGAGCATAGGAATGCCTGAATCACGAGCTCGAACAAGCAAATCAATCTCCCGAATACTGGTAGATCCTCCTGCATGAGCATCACTCCGGCGACTACTCCGATCCACTAGCTCCTCGAAATCAAAGCGGTGTAACGGACGCAACAGGCCACTTTATCGGATCTATGGTAAAGTTCGACCGGTACATGCCCTCGACAATCTCATAGGTCACCTGGCTGTTCTCAGTGCCAATGAGATCAGCATCTCGGGCCTCCAGCTGCAATGGTGTCTCGAACTCAGCTTGGTTCTCCAGCAACTTGGTCTCGTATTGTCGCTGCGGAAAAGTGGGTGCATTATCATTCACATCCAGGATGTCCACGATTATTTGTGCAGTATTCCTGTTACCCTGACCAGCGTTGTCGATGGCCTCCACTGTGAGGTAGTGTCGGGAAATTATCTCACGATCAAATGCTGTTCCACCCGCCTGTTTAATGGTTATTACTCCGGTAATGGGGTTAAGATTAAGTCTAGGATAAATTAAAAGAAAGTAGTTAGTAGCTAAAGACAATGGCTTCCTTGGTAAGCTTACAAGTGAGCAATGCCTCCCCTGAGATTGGTATAACGTATACCCATAGTTCCATAATCTCCCGAGTCCACATCCACCGCCTGTACATGGGTAATAACCGTGTCCTGTTCACTGTTCTCCAACACACTTGCATTGTAGATCGTTTGACTAAACTCAGGGAAGTTGTCATTTTGATCTCTTACAAAGATCTGGACATGTGCAGAACTAGAAGATAAAGAACAATAATATTTCCAGTAATTTAACCAGTAAAATAACAAAAACCCACCTCCATCGACTGGGTTCGTCGATCTCCCGGGCGAATATCGTAAAGTTGACCTCGGTAAATTGTTCAAAATCGAGAGACTTTGAGTTCTTCACCCGCAGCATAAAGTTGGCCTCATTAACAGCCAGCTCAGGTACGATTTCGAAAAGATCGTTGGGTGGATCCAGAAACAAACGGAAGGTGCCATTGTTGCCCTCGTCGTGATCAAATACCACATTTTGTATTTCCTCGTCGATGAAGTTAAGGGGGGTATTGGTCTGGGCATTCTCGTTAACCTCACACCGATAAACTGTTTCTCCAAAAGTGGGTATTTCATCATTGACATCACTTACTATAACCGTAACTTCAGTACGAACTGTTGTGGGTGCCATTTGGGTATTGGATTTGGACAACTCCGTAGCTGAAATTCGCAGGATATGTGCTCCATTCACCTGATCACTCTGCTCCTCGCGGTCCAGTTTAGTTAGTGTGTGAACTATTCCTGTGTGGGGATTAATGTCGAAAAGATCGTTTGCCTCCAGAGCATAGGCTATAGGATTATTGATTCCACGATCTCCATCTATGGCTCGGACTCGCAGAACTTTGGTGCCCACTGGAGCATCCTCTGCAATTCGTGCCACCGCCTGCACTTCCACGAATTCTGGGGGTTGATCTTCGAGATCCTTTACTTTTACCAAGATGGCAGCAGTCCCTGTATTAACTGGCCCCTGGTTTGCTCGATCGATGGCCAGTACTCTCAGCTGATACAGACTTTTCCTTTCGTAATCCAACTCCTTTTGCAATCTTAAGATTCCCTTTCCTTGATGGGTGGCGATGGAGAACACATCATTATCCCCGTCCAGCTCTTGCAGGTAGTAAACCACCTGCCCATAGGCACCTTCATCCGCATCTGTAGCCTCAAGAGTGGTCACCACTCCCGGAGCACTGCCTTCCGGTATTTCAATGGCGTTTTGATAGGGCAAAAAAGTGGGAGCATTGTCGTTAATGTCCTCGACCAGGAGCAAAAAGCTCTGCGTCACATAGTTGTGATCCGTATAGTGACTGTCGGTTAGGGTTAGCACTATGGCATATTCGTCTTGTGTTTCGCGATCTAGTTCTTTGGCCAAAAAAACCTTGGCCTCATTCCCACCTGTATTCTCAATCCGGATTATCTCACTATCATGCGAGTTTCGCTTTCCAAAAGTCAGTGGATCGTTGTCCGGATCGAAGCCCTTTAGGGTGTATATCAGGGTTCCTTGGGTGAAAAAAGGAAATCATTTTTGTATGTTCTTATAAAGTACATAATCTTATATCTTTATTATCGATTAAAAGAGTAGTGCTTTATATTATGTAGGAAATAAATTGTATTTCGTTAAGCAAAAGTAAAAACTATGAAAATCATGAAAATGCAAAACTTAAAAACTGATTAGCAAACAATTTTTATACATGACACATTACCATTTATAATATCAGATCGTTTAATTCTGCTCTCGTTTTGCAGATTATTAAGAGTAAAGTTATAAATTCTTAAAACATGACAGTACGACTTTTCATATCGATGTTTATTTTTGTCTGTGATATTGGACCTGTCTGTGATATTGAACAGTATCTGAGAGATTGTAATTAAAAATTTAGTTAATATTTTTAAGTATTTTGTCTAAAAAGTTTAATTATGAATTTCTCGTTAGATTTAGCTATGAGTTGTATATATATTGATTAGCCTGTAAAAAGTATCCCCTACTTACCCACTTTCGTTTCAGGACTCTCCTTCAGGCGCAGTACGATCTCTGACTGTCCGTCGATAGTGAAACGCGGCGGCCGATTTGAGGCAACCAAGCTGATTAGTGTGGTGAGTATTATGACTTGGATGTAGATGGAGCTTATATATCTAGGGTATATTCGATGCCGTAGTCCTTTTAAGCGCACCTTCTTGTAGTCAATTGACTGCGAATGTGGTTGTAGTTCGTTGTGCATTGTGATGGGTTGTGAGGAGAACATTGGGGTAGAAGTTACTAGCAACTACCACATGACAGGTAAACTTGAGTGGCGACACCTAGAAAATAGGCAGAGTGTGTTACGAAAGAAGCTAGTGGAAGTGTTAACCCAATTTTCCCCATACACATGTTGTCGCACGTTTTATGGGCCGTGATCTGTGACCCGCCGGCAGTTTCGCTCGAGAAGGTAACTTAAAGTGGGGAATCTACCAGAGAGAAGTTCTGTGCCCGTTCTGCCATTGCTACATAGCCAAAAAAAATAACAAAATGAGAACTCAATTAGGTCGTGCATTAAGAAATCTGAATGGAACTGGACTCGCAGACTGCGTGTTAACAGGTGTTCTTTATATAGATATATATATATATCTTTCAGTTCTGCGTGAGAATTGGCCAGCAGATTTTTGCGAAAGTTGTATGCTCGAATTAATTAAGCGTCAGCTCTTTATTGGCTTTACTTCACTTGACTTAAATGTTGGCTCAGCGCCAGCCTGGAATTCCGCTAAAGAAATTTTATGGGTTTTGCTGCTGCTTTAGTTTTTAGCTGTTATTTTGTATGAGGTTTAACGACCGGAACGTTTTCTAAACTGCCCGGCAATTATAACTACTTTGGTTTTTTATCCATGTGCCAGATTTGTCTCATTGCAAATTTCTAACAAATTGCGGATAAGTTCTCGCTCAAGTGGAGTGAAAATTGAAAGTTGAAAACATCTTTAACATATATACATATATACCCAGATATAAAGATAATGAGGAAGGTCCATATATCTCATTTGCGAAAATTTAATGATGTTGCTACACATTTTGAGAAAATCCCTTCTTCACCGGCTTATCTTTTCACCGATGATGTGTGTGAAAAATATATCTACAAGTATGTGTAGAGCGATGACTGCATCTGTCAAATGGAGATGCAGTGGCAGTTGCAAGTGCAGATATGCATTATTAATGCCATTGTTTGGCGGGTTCAACTCGGTTAGGCTCATTTGCAACCGGAGCAGGGGATCCGAGAGATTCTGCCAAGTGTGGTTCATTGATTTCGCAATTGCTTGGCGATTTCTTAATCGCCTGCCATCGTAAATGCCTCTGCCGACGGTAATTGATTTGTGTCTCTCTCTATCTCTCTCTCTCTCTGACTGTCGGATGCTTCATTACTGTGCAGGTTGCATCAACCTCTTTATCGCGGGAAAATCAAGTAGCAAGGTCGTTAGAGCTAGAGAGTCGCCTAAGCTGATCACGGTTAAGTGATTCAAAAGTAATCACAATCCGCGCCTGATTTCGCTTTCAACACGAGCCGCATGCAACATTTTCAGTGCTTACAACTACAACTAGTATCGGTATCTGCAGCATCTTCTGCCTTTTTTGGGCGACTGATTCTTCTCTACATCTCTAGCCGTGGATAATTATCCATGCATCCGTGGCCAGCACGTTTGTGTAACGACGGCAATTGGGTTGTTTGGTCAGTTGGACGATTCAGGGATGGGGGATGCTCTGCTGGCCAGGCAATTTCATGCTGCACTGCCTCGGCCCAACCGAATTGGGGTTATCAATGCTGATGTCGATGATTTTGGTGCGGGGGGAGATGCGTTACTACCCATCGGAATGGAGAGAATGATGTACTTGCTATTTTATTGTTTATGTTTTTTCCTCTAGCAGATATTGTTTATGTGTGTTTCATAATCGTATCAAACGTATTGGAGACATTTAGTTAAGAAATGTGATTATCACTTATACGCCATGCATATCCATAAATATTTCTGAATTGAATTGATTAGTCCTTTGTAAATAATGTCTTATTAAATCAATTATTCGTAAGAAATGAGAAGAGTTATAAAGTGAAAATATTTATCTAATAAGTTACAAACTATATACTCGTAAAGGAAATTGCGAATTTCAGCTAGGTCAACCATTCATTTCATTTTGTCTAATGTCTAGGCGGGCTATCACTTCCTCTCCAAATGATACCATTCAAAATCGCATTTAGTTTAATTAACTCCATTAGTGGCAGACGCACCTCCACCCACCCACTTTCTTGCTGCCAATTTTCCACACAGCTAAAACCCACTGAATTAAGGCAAATTAATAAGTTACGCCGCCTCGGCTAGATCGGCAAAATCAGTGAGGGGGCTCTCTGCCATTTCCCCCGGGGTTTACGTAAGTGGAAAGTGGCAGAAGTTGTCTTAGGAGTTGTCGAAAAGTCAAACAAAACACTTGGCCCAGCCACCATGACGACGGCGCCTTTCCACAGTTCAGATTTATATACATCTGCGACCTGGAGATCCACACATGTGGTGGATCTCAATGCGAATTCGAGCGAACTTATTCGGTGCTAATGACTCCGGTTGCTGGGTTCACGCTTGGCCAAGTTCTGACCCCGTCCGAGTGGGCCAAAAGTGAAATCCTTTACGAAGACTGTTCAATGCTTAGGCGGTATCCAATGGCCACCGTCGCCAATCTTGTGGCTTTTTGGGCAAACCGCAAACAAACCTGGTGGCTCCAAGGTAATCGCCGTCGAAATGGAAATCCTAATAAACAATTTTGATTTGTCTGCCGCTGCGACAAGTTCCCCCGATCTCTTTCTCCGCCCCATGCCAGCCCACTGTAATCGCCGGTTCATGACTTTCCAAGCCAGGCAGGGGCTTACTTAATTATATTAAATATGTTAAGCCCGGCTGAGAGCGGCAGTCAGTCACATATGAACACTGTAAAAAATATTTCGGCTTACGTTTGAAATTAAAAAAAAATCATATAGTGATATCAGATTCCTAGCTATTTTTAAATAAAACTTCTATAAAACATTTAAGCTGACATAAAAATCTGATCTGATCGCCTAATTATTAATAAGCAACATTTTTTTCTGAGTGCATTGCTGCAGATTGAGATTGGTATGGATCGTGTTGTGACCAATGTTGCCTCCAGTTTCCGGCCCGCGAGCAAACAATCGGTCCCCTGGCGTTCCGAGTATACTCCAATTTGAACACTTCCTCCCCCGTATTAGGGCCCTTTTGTCATGCCCATCGATTCCGATATGTGCGCGGCACTCCGACAGTCAAGTTCAACGCCAGCAGCCAACAATTGTTTGTTGGCTGGCAAACAAAAGGAGCCCGTTGGAGGGTTAGGAGAGGGCTCCGTTGCGGTGGCTTGGTTTTTGACTCATAGCCCGGGTTCAAGCGACGCCCGCATCCGTCTCACTTTTCAAGCCAAGCTCTGAATCTTGGCTTAGATGTTTGCTTGTAGCTAGCTGGTGTCGTGAGCAATTTGTCCGTTACACTCCGGCTCCTTTTCTGGCTTAAGTTTTTGCACTTTTCTATTTGAATCTGCTTTGCAAGTATTTCTACATTTCGGGCAATTAAACAATTTATTTGACAAGCTTGTCTTGGAAGAGCAGACAAGTCCTTGACGAGAGCTCTGACCTTATTGGTAGTACTGTAAAGAAGCAAAGTTGGCCAACTCTTCGTGGTGGAACCTTCAGGCTTCCATGCACGGGAATCAATAACAAGGCACGAATTAACCGTTTAAAAGTTATGCCAATATCTAAGAGTATTTAAATATTATTTTGAAAGTAGTTCAGAGATTCTATTATCATTGAGAAATAATATTCCTAGTTTTCTCCGTGTAGAGCTTCATACCTTCACCCTCGTTAATTCCATTCAAGGAAACCTCCTAACTATTCCCCTTAACCAGAGCCAGACACATGCCAGGACAGGAATGCAAACCGGTTCATCACTTACCCCCTTTAAAATGGGTATTCCTATAGATCAAGTATCCTTTTTGTGTTATCCTTGGGTTTCACTTGAACGATTATTATTTGAAGCCAACCAACACTTGCAGTGTCACACTCGAGTGTCTCTTAACAACTACCAAAGAACTGACAAATTTCGTGGCTGACACATTTTTGAAAAGGCTTCGACGTCACTGGTAATTAGGTATAAGTCAAGAACCCCGCAGAACATACACGATGAAACCGCATAAAAAATAAACGTGTCGCACGCTTCGAAATTGGGCAATGCACGAACCGGAACTCGAGTTTAAAGAATGGTAAAGGGGCCTCGAAACTTAGATGGTGGACAGATCACTTAATGACACTTTTAGCCGACAACGGAACGTGCCGTAGAACACGAAGTCTTTCAATCCAATCTTCTTGGCTGAATGAATAAACTGCGAGCATACGTTTTTTTTTTGCACTTTCGAAATCCGAAAACGGTTAAGTGTTTTCCACGAAAAACGCGAATTTTTTTTGAACGAAGTGTTTACCACAACAGCCGCTCGACGACTGACGTTGAATTTGAAAAACAAGCTAACGAGACTTCGGAGCTCTACTGGAATCGAGCTGTCGTCGAAAGCCATGACAACCCTGTTCTTTTTTGGGGGAGAGAAAAAGATATAGCCGGGTCGAAACATAAAGAGAAAAACACACTGCAGGCACGCGAGTAATTAGCCAACCGTAAATTCCACCGGCTAAGTGGGCGGCGGGCGAGCTTTGTTTGTTTACAATTTGCAAGCTTGTTATTGGATCGTAACTTTGAATGTTCACTGCAAGACTGGAAAAGCTTTGGCAACACGGTGGTCAATGGAGACCGGAAATACGCGGGCTTATGCAATTTTGAAGGTTACACGGGGGCTAAAACAAAAAAAATCGCGCAAATTCAAACTTTTTGTTAATTTTCTTTTGTAATGATCCAGAAAGGTGTGGCCAAATTTTTTATGGATTGTAAAGCTCACAATATAGGTTAAGAGTTCGACCTAAATATGAAAATAAACTGAATGACATTTTTTATTTCAATCAAGTATTGACAACATTAGAAAAATTTTTAACGTAATTTCTTAGAAAATGTCTATGGGTCGAATTATTCGAAAAGGCAGCGCCAGCGAGTTAACGCGGAAGGGTAGTACCATAGTGGTAACTGTTCCTCCTTTGGTGAAGAAGTCGAGCAAAAGCCGCTCGTTTCACTTCCGCTATCTGGAGCTGTGCCGAGCAAAGAACATAACGCCGGTTCCAGAAATTCGCAGTAAAAACAATTCGACTACCACCTTTTTGGAGCTGTGCGGGGACAAGTTGGCGGTTAGCGACTGGCAGCTTCTGACCGAGGCACTTCACTATGATCTTGTGCTCCAGCAGCTGGTGGTGCGCCTGCGCCGAACATATCCACAAAGTAAGTGCCTTAAAAGACAGATACGTTCTCTCCTAACTAACCTAGGATCCACTGTCCATACTTTTTCCGGCAGCCAACATCGATCCCATTGACACTGAGAAACGTGCACGTCTTTTTCGCCAAAGACCGGTGATCTTTACGCGTTTCATCTTCTATAATCTGGTTCAGGCAATTGCTAATTGCGTTTCTAGCAACAAGAACTTGAGCGTACTCAAGCTAGAGGGGCTACCGTTGCAGGATGGCTATATCGAGGCCATTGCTAAGGTGGGTGAGACTCCCTGACAGAACAATCATCTAAAGAAAATCTATTCACAGTCCCTAGCTGACAACGAATGTCTCGAAACAATAAGTTTTCGTAAGTCCAACATTGGTGATAAGGGATGCGAGGTGGTCTGCAATACAGCCAAGTACCTGAATCGTTTGGAGGTCTTCGATGTCTCGGAGTGCGGACTTACGTCTAAGGGAGCAGAGCATGTGGCTGATTTGCTTAAGGTAGGTCGGTGGATTATTAATAATCCTAATCCATTTCTTGAGCCATAAGAGTAAAACCGTTTCCTTTTCTCAGATGCAAAAGATCTCTCGTTTCACGGAGGGTTGGGAGAAGTCACTTCGCTACCGGAGTGTGGATGTGAACACGATTGGCGGACTTCGAACGGTACTGCTGGCAGACAATCCGGCTATAGGAGACGACGGCATCCGATGGATAACCGAGGTCCTGAAAGAGGATGCCTGGATAAAGAGTAAGAGGAGTAAGATTAATGATACCTGTAATACCATTTAAATACCCCACAGAAATCGACATGGATGGCTGCGGATTGACCGATATAGGAGCCAATCTGATTCTCGATTGCCTGGAGCTGAATACAGCGATTGCGGAGTTTAGTGTGCGGAATAACGAGGGTATAAGTAAGTTTCTGCAGCGCAGCATCCGAGACCATTTGGGTGGACCACCCGAGGAGAAAGAAGAGCCAGAGTACGACTTAAGTTGCATTAACGGTCTGCAGAGTCTACCCAAAAATAAGAAGGTAACGGTTTCCCAACTGCTGGCCCACACCAAGGTTTTGGAGGAGCAGCTCTCCTTTGAGAGGACGATGCGCAAGAAGGCTGAGAAGCTAAACGAGAAGCTTAGCCACCAGCTTATGCGATCTGACTCCAACCCCATCATCCATGAGAAGGTCATGGAGAGTGGATCCCACACGAACTCTTCTCGGGAGTACGTAGAACGGCATGAGGTTATTCAGGAGGTGACCAAAGAGTGAGTTTATGAAATTATTTATTGAATAGTAGAAGCTGATTAAATTTTCTTTTCAGGTCTCAGAGTTACCGCCAGTCGCACTTCAACCGGCTGGTGAATAGTGCGGTGACAAGTCCTGATGTCTCACCTCGCAGCGAAATAGTCACTTTGCGGAAGGAGCAGCAGATGCAACAAAACTCCTCACGCATGCAGATTAAGCATCCTTCAATGGAGCAGCAGCTTAGGACTCTGCGTGAGGTGCAAGAGGAGGAGGAAGAGGAACTGGAGCCGGAGCAGGAGCATGAGCGCCTGGGGAACACGCAATCGGAGTCAGAAGTACAAATCGAGGAGCAACAGTACTACCAGCAACCAATGTCAATCCCAATGCAGCGCAAACAACTCCAAGTGCGCAAGGTGCGTAGCGAGATGAAGTATGTGGAAAATAATCCCAAGGAGGCTACCAACAAGAATCGGGAATCCAAATCGGATCATGAGTTTGCCAATGAGCGTGATGTAAGTACCTTGCCTCCGGCACCTTTAATTTTAAAGCAAAAATAATAAATCTTGTTGCAGTTCAAGCTTAATCCTGCTGTCCAATTTGAGACGGACATTGGCGACAGTACGATGGTTAATTCTGGCCAGCGTTACGAGTGTGAAGCAGAAATGGGATATAGCCACAACTATGAACAGGTCCAGCCAGTAAAACGGGGCTATGAGAAAGGTTATGGGCTGGGAGACGGTTCCTACAGAAGACAGAAATCCTCCCACCTTGTCGAGGCTTTAGTTCAAAAACGTAGCGCAGGTTCGGGCGATGGACAAGTGGCGCAGTTCGTCAGCGCTTTGGAAAGAAAAGCGAACGGTGGAAATTCGGCAAAAAACCGCCAGAAGCCCCGACCTGAGAGCAATCGTAAGGTTCCCATCAGCGAGATGCAAATGGAGTCCTATATGTCCAGCTACGAAGAGCTCTCCTCCTCTACAGATGTTACGTTGGAAAACTCGGACTACGAGGCGGATAACACAGACTCCACGTTACGAGGCAGCTCTAATTATTCTTCCATGCAGGTATTTGTACGGCGCAAACACTCTGAATCCTTGTCGCTGGCTGAGGAGTCCGGCGACGGGGATGCAGGCGGTGGTGATGGGCAAGGGGATAATGGCGACTCAGCGCTTTTATCCCCGCGCGAAGTTTACCTGTCCATGCAGCACACGAAGCAGCAGGAACAGAGCGCCTAGGTTTTATCTTTCAAAATCCCAGCAGTCATTCGCAGTAAAAGCAGCGACACCTCTGCTGGATCTTTCAAAAAACAGTGTCACCATATACCAGCCAACTCCATTCGATGGGATCCCCATTGGGAGAGCTAAATTTGCAGTTGTACTCCCGGGCAGTACAAGTACAAAAGAAAACCCCATTGCACGTGTCCTGTTCCCTGCGAATTCAAACTGCGCCAAAAATGTACAAAAATATAAATTAATCTTAATTACCATTAAAGGTTTGCCATTTGTGTGCTCACTAAGCGATTTCCATGCATATATTTTATGGGGTCGATCAAATTAAAAATGTAAGTTCGTTTAAGGGCAATTTAAACCCATTTTTGCTTATAAAATACCCGCCCTACAAAAGATTTCTTATTTTTTGTGCTCTCTACGCGATTTTTTTTTTATTTATTTTATTTCGTATATATGTATTTGTGGAATTATAAAATATGCGTCTGGTTAAGTTTGTGTTGAAATACTACTGAATAAGATTCAATTGGATCAAGTAATTTGAATGTAGTTAAGTTAACCGCTTGGTTATTTATTAAGTAGGAGCTTTATGGGCGAGCTTAACCGCCAAAGCCGTAGAGGGTGCGTCCCTGGCGCTTGAGAGCGTAGACCACGTCCATGGCGGTCACGGTCTTACGCTTGGCGTGCTCAGTGTAGGTGACAGCGTCACGGATAACGTTCTCAAGGAATACCTAAGAAATATTTATGAATAAACTAGTTTTCCTTTATTTTTCACCTTTAAAGCTTACCTTAAGCACACCGCGAGTTTCCTCGTAAATCAAGCCTGAGATACGCTTTCACACCTCCACGACGGGCCAAGCGGCGAATAGCGGGCTTGGTGATACCCTGGATGTTATCACGGAGCACCTTACGATGACGCTTGGCGCCCCCCTTTCCCAATCCTTTTCCTCCCTTTCCACGTCCAGTCATTTTTCAGTCGATTGATTTGCTTTGTGAAATTGGCTAAGAAAAAGAGAGAAGACGCAATTAACTGTAAAGCGACGCCATGTTTGGTGGAAGTAAGGGTAAGTAACAGGTAAGCAAACAAGTGAAAATTCTTCATACAAGGTAAATTTTAATATGAAATTAATGTTTACACTTGCTGGTATATATTTTTATAAACAAATGAATTTTTTGTTGTTGATTTTTTATTATTTACTTAAGTTTTTCTGCCGCAACACTCACCTTTAAGAAAAATCCAGAATTATTTTGTCAGTGTGAACAAAGTTTGCGTACCTGGAAAATACCTGCTTTCAGGAAACCACAATGCTAGTATTCATTATTTTAGTATTTTATTATTTATGTGTAACCATCCCTGGTTTCTTATCGCTAATCGACCATCACTATCGCCGCCCCGTCAAATAAAAAAGTACCGAAAGAAGTGCTCGCGTAAAAAACACCTGAAAAACAGGCATGCAGGCCTTTTAAAAACGGAAAGTGCAGCGCCTTATTGTATTTCAACTGTGTCGAAGCAAAGTGCAAAAGAAACAAAGTGAAAAGTCAAGGAAAAGCCGCGAAAAATGTACATGCAAACGGCGTGTGGCCAGCAAATTCGCTGCCGAGGCACCGCACACACACTCGGTCACCCACACATACACACCTTGTGTTTTATGCACTAAAAAAAGAAGTGCAGACAGGAACTCTGTGCCAAAATATAAGCAATACTCCACCAGTAGCCCTTCAAGTATCTAAAAAATCATTCGTTACGTATACGCAGTGCTGAGTGCTGTAAACAAGTTGACTTCAGCGATAACAACAATGTCCAAATACGATCTGCTTTATCTAACGGCGCAGCTAATGCTGGGTATGTATTTCGTTGCAAGTGTGTGGGTGTATACTTATTGGCGCCTTAATTCCCAGTCGCTATTACATATATAGTACTATATTTTGTCATTATTTCTCGTCATTCTGCTGTAATATAAGCTGCCTTCGATTCTCCACTTTCATATTTCCATTCGTGCGTGATTTTCTACAGCGTATTACTATTTTCTTTATTAATATCACATGGCGCTTAAAATTGATATCGGGTGTTTAGGTTTTCTGACAGATAAGGTACTTATTTAAAAACCTTGAAGGCATATGTAAACCTTTTTAATTTTTAAAATTAAAAACCAAAAATATTAATATGAAAAGCGTAAAATTGATTTAATGGAATTTGTCATAGATCTATTTGTAATGCGAAATATTTAATAAGCATATATACGGTAAAATTACTATTTAAAATGAATGGTTTCTTAATAACACTGGGTATTAATTGATCGAATATCAAATTCCCAATCTTGATCCATGTGTGTGTGTACGCTGAGCATTTCTTTGAATGGATTTTGCTGCATTAGGAACTTGTTGTATAGCAGGTTCTGGTTTCCCCTCCCTCTGGCTTCTCTCTCCTTTACTATCCCTCTCTCTTTCTGTGGCGCAATGCGCTCTCTTCCCTGTTGCTGTTGTTGTTGTTTCTGCTGCTGCTGTTTCCTTTTTCCCCACAAGCGCCACTTTAAACCCATCCCTTTCTGTGTGCATAATGTGCCTGCTTATGTATCTACTTTACTATAAAGCATGCACGCTTACGAACACACACACACAGCCAGCGATCCGATTACCCGAAGGACAGTGGGGCGAAAAATATGATTAAGGATAAAAGAAATACGTAGTTGTGGTCAATAATAAATTAATAAGTTAAGTCCATTAAAATAAATTTATTTTCATTTTCATTCTTATTGTATTGAATATAAAATTTAATAACGTTTAAGTGGCTTTAGGTTATACTCTAATATGACACCATCGTAGAAATCGAATGCAAATTAAAGTATAAACGAAGAGAATTCTGATTTTATGATAACCTCATAACCTTTATTTTTATTTCGGTAAATCCTACTAGCATAGACTCTCAATTATGAAATCATTAGTTGAACATTTAATTAGCTGGTGATAATTTATGTTGAGACCATTTAAATTAGTAAAATGTGTTATGACTGTCGTTAAATTAGAACATCTGACGTAATGATAGCTTAGGCAATGACCACTGTGCACTGCATATCCGTGCATTGGGGCCATGCCCACTCAAAGCCTGGTGTGTGGCCAGTGGGGCTAATTCCGTGCCCAAATGGGGTGGCTTTCAATGGCACATGCCCCAGCTTAGGACCCGGACTCCTACTGGTGGGCATGCGATATGTGTACAAAGGATAGCGCCCACAAAGAGCTCGCTCAGCGCCGTTCCCTTAAAACCCATTCCCCAAATAGGCTTGGCTTTATTTGTCCACCCTTTGGAGCACTTCCAACCGATAATTCCATTAACTTTGATCTTTAACCAAGTTTACGCAATGGCAGGTAGTGTGAATTACTTGTTTTAAAATTATAATTTTATTTTATTCGGGTTTTTAACTTATAGTTTATAAAATGTTTTATGTTACCCATAGTTAATATAATATAATTATAAATAAAAAGTCATACTAATCCCTATTTTCCCCTCTTTTAGTTTGCTGCCTAATTGGGATTCAAGGATCTATCCTTCCCGGAATACTCAACAACATAGAATGCGAGCATTTTGACGAGAAGATGTGCAACACAACGCAGGAATGTGAAACACGGGTCGAGCACTGTGAGATGGACGGGAATAAGTTTCCTAGCTGCTACGTCCTTTGGTCGGTCAGCGAGACAACGGGTAAGCCGGGCAGGAAAATAAGCATTTTTCAACCATACTGATTGATTTGGTTTCTCTTTTAGGCGCCCTGCGAATAAAGATGAAGGGGTGCTTCACTTACATGCACGAATGCAATCAGACGAAGTGCGTGACCAGTGCGGAGCCACGGCAGGGAAACATCCACTTCTGTTGCTGCAAGGGATCGCGCTGCAATTCCGACCAGCAGTATATTAAAAGCACGAGGGAGTCAACCACACAAGGTGGGTTTGGTTTCAGATTCGGATTCGGATTCAGTTTAGCATTTGCTGCTGCTGCGGGGATTTGTCTTTGGAGTGTTTACCCCAATTTTGTTATTTTTCCGTTTACATATATATATTTTTTTTTGTTTATTTTTGTTACTCGTTTTTTTTTTTGTATTGCATCTTCAAGTTGCAAAAAGGAGGCGTACGGTTCGCCTACAAAATCCCTCTCTTGCCATCGGAGGCAACGTTTTTCGTGTTAACGAACTCTCGACGCGAAGTGGCGCCCGCTCCACCATCATTTTCTGTTTCCCCAGTACCGCATCAACCCCCTTTTAGAGCCGCATGTGTTGCAATTTCTGCCCTCCCGTGCACGTTCGCTGGTTCGTTTTTATTTTTATAGTGAGGTACTTCGTAAGCTATTGGGTATAATGATTTCGCTTGGAAGGATGCAACATGGTATTTCAGAAAAGTAGAGAAATATGTAGCCAAACTTGAAACTAGTTTAAGGGCTTACCTGGATTTTTAATCAAATCAATTTTAAAAATAGATTGTTTTAAATGCAATTACCAGTTGTAAAGGTTTTTAAATCTTTTTTCTTTATCAAAATCCATGTATCCATGTTTTAAAGTCTTCAAACCCTGTTGATGATATCTAGTACCGAGTAACTCAGCGTCGTTTGACTCTCCTTTAGCCTTTCTTGTTTTTATTTTGGGGTGTTCCTGCTGCCTTTGACTTCGGAGCCCTGTGCTGTGCCAGGGCGTCTTTTGTGCCCTGCTCTTTGTTGTTTTGTTCTTGGGCCTAGCTCGCTTTTATCCTCGAAACAAAATGAGGGGGAAAAAGAGATGCGAAATTGGGGGCGAACTTTCGTTTTTTTGGTTTTCGTTTTGCCTTTGATAGCAACCCCAGCAGCTGCAGGTGGTGCATGCTGCCACTCGAGATGTTGTTCACCTGTGGCAAGGCAAAGGCAAGGCAGCGTTTAAAGCCCCTCTTTAATGTTCGTTCCCGTGTGTGTGTCCTTGTGTCGTTGCAGTGCCCAAGGAGAAGACCCAGGATGGCAGCAATTTGATATATATCTACATCGGTACCTCCGTCTTTACCGTGCTCATGGTCATCGTTGGCATGGGCCTGCTTCTCTACAGACGCCGCATAGCAGGCGCATTTTAACGAGATACCCACGGTGAGTAGTCAAAAGTTGTTTTTACAAATTAAAAATTTTAATTATGATAAATTAAACCCTTTAGCACGAGACGGAGGTTACCAATTCTTCTCCATTGCTAAGCAACCGTCTATTCAACTGCTGGAACAGAAGGCCAGCGGAAGGTTCGGTGATGTATGGCAGGCCAAGCTGCATGGCCAGGATCTTGGCCGTCAAGATCTTCCGCATGCAGGAGAAGGAGTCTTGGACCACAGAGCATGATATCTATAAGCTGCCACGCATGCGCCACCCGGCCATACTTGAATTCCTGGGTGTGAGAAGCACATGGACAAGCCAGGTACTGGCTGATATCCACCACCAACCATAGCGGATCACTGTGCGACTATCTCAAGTCGCGCACTATTACCTGGCCCGAGCTGTGCCCATATTGCCGAGTCTATGGCCAATGGTTTGACTCATCTGCACGAGGAAATTCCGGGCTCAAAGACAGATGGTCTCAAGCCCTCGATGGCTCATCGGGACTTTAAGTCAAGGAGAATGCTGCTTAAAAGCGATTTGACAGCTTGTATCGCTGACTTTGGACTGGCCAGTGATCTTCCAGCCGGAGTAAGTCCCTGCGGTGACACACATGGCCAAGTGGGCACTCGTCGTCACATGGCCCCTGAAGTGCTGGAGGGCTATTATTTTAACCGTGACGCCTTTTTGCGTATAGATGTATACGCCTGCGGCTTGGTCCTTTGGGAGATGGTGTCACGTGTGACTTTGCCGGACCCGTTGGCGAGTTCCAGCTGCCGTTTGAAGCAGAAGTGAGGCCCGAGGCCCACGTTGGGCGAAGTTCCAGGAGAGTGTGGTGATGAAGCTGCGCCCACGTCTGCTCGGCTCCTGGCGTGCCCATCCGCCAAGTTTAACTTCACTTTACTTTTTTTACTCAAGGCCAATAAATAATAAATAACTATGGTTTCTTAGAGGTCTTATGTGTTCTGCGACACCATGGAAGAGTGTTGGGATCACGACGCTGAGGCCCGTCTGAGCTCATCGTGCGTTATGGAACGCTTTTCGCAGCTCAATAAGTATCCCTACGGCACAGTTGTTATCAGAACCACACCAACATTGACGACGCCAAGGAGGTCGACAAACTGCTTATAGAAGCAGTACTAAGTCACAGACTAGTTAACTTGTACTGTGGCCTAACAGTAAATCAGTGAAAGCCTTTCGCTTGGCAGAAAATATATTATAAG